CCACCGCCGCTGCTGCCGTTGCTGCTGCTGCTCTTCTCAACCGTCAAAGAATTTCAAATTAACGGCTCAAAATTTATCATAGGAGTCTCTCTCATGCAGATACTGCTGCGTGTTTACTGAGAGTTAAAGGCGAGGTATTGTAGAAACACATTCATTTCCTGGTGGTGACAGAACCATGCCCGGGAGCTCACGGCTTCATGGATCCGCCAGCATCCCGGTTCACACGGCGGATTAAGAAGCCAATAGACGCCGTCGGTACAGCAGAAGTGGACACGGATTTACCATAAACTGACGTGAGGGGGACGGTGCCGCTTCACATTATGGACTGTACCACTTTTCTCCGCAGAGGGAGGGGGTGGCCGGAAATGTTAAGTGTCTTTTCAGCGCGAATAAAGAACAAGAGTGATCAAAGTGGGTTTGTTTTCTAAGAGCTTGAAAACAAAATGCGCTGGATTCTTTCAATGACTCCTTACGTAATGTTTGAAATACAGAATTGTTCGTTGTTGAGAACAGCTCCTCCCTCTGCAGTAGATGCTATTCACAGGTTTGAAGACACAACAATAGTACAGTGGGTGGGAGCTGGTTTATCATAATCCAGCCTTGTTTTTGTGTAAAATATAGTTATAAATTTAAAAATAGAACTGATTTGTCAGCGAATCTTAGTCTTTGCAAGTTTGGAAATCATCACGAATTACCATTAGACTTAATATATAAAATACACAATATACTGTATATTCAATGTAAAACTATATGTTAAAGGTTACTGGACTCTTCATCACATGCCAACAGTGACTCTTTATGTAGGAGATTAATAGATGAATCAATGACAACAAAATTTTTGTTCAGTATGCAGTTTGTGGTGATTTTAAAAACAGCATTCGTTTTTTAGTTTTAGTTTTAGTATCAACATTAGTTGCAGTGTGTTATGAGATATGTTATCACCAGTATAGTGGTTATGTTATGTCACCACTTAAAACTTTTTGTTTTGTTTTGTACACACACACACACACACACACACACACACACACACACACACATATATATATATATATATATATATATATATATATGTACAAATATATGTATGTATATACTTTTTTCCCTTGCAGAAAAAAGTATAGATTCAACTTTCTTGACATCTTTTCTCAAGGAAGACAGCCTATACATAGAAAGTAAGGGCTAAATATTATGATAGACAACTTGGTATTTGCTTTTCAAAATTGGGACTTGTGCCTAAAACCAACTGTTGCCTTATTTTTATTTGCTGACATTTAAAATTGTAAAAGACTAGAGACATTTTAGTACCAAAACGCTGACGAACTAACATTTTTTTCATAGTTAGACCATGTGCAGGAGCTTACTCACATCATAGTTTTAACAGTAATTTTAGAGGAGATAGTATTTTCATTTTAAGTCCCCAAAGAATCAAGCATAAAAGATTCATATGCTGTCTATATCTTTTGTGTAACCCAGTTGATGTTATTAGCCATGGTAGACATAATTGGTTGAAACAGAAAGGGTAAATAAATTACATTTATTTGCATGTATATGCACTATTGTCCGTGTAGAATGTACAACATCACTTTCCACCAGTTGCTAAGTTTTGTAGCCAGCAGGCCTCCTTCATTTGTGCTGATGCGTTGACACTCTGGTTCAGTTAGAAGAAAGCTTCACAGGACTGATATCACACCCACAACACAAAGGGAATTACACATGAAACGTACTGATGAAACATCAGAGATTCCTCAGATGGTTACGGTTCACAGCAGGAGAGATGCTTGTGTTAATTTGAAGCAGACACTTATGGCTTTGGAAAGTTCAATGACTCTTGTGTTGGTGTTGTCTCTCACCATGCCACCTCTGCTCTGCTAATCCAGTACAGAGCACTGCATTTGTCAACTGGGCTGTCAATCCTGATGTTAAATCCTTTCTTTTCAAGATTAAATAACTGACTGCATCCCAGAAAAATTAACACTTAGACATGGAGCAGCATAAAAGCTACCTCGAACAGAAACAATGTTTTGTCTCAAATTATCTGACATGTATTTTCATTCTTTAGTTTAGCCTTGGTTTACATAAATGAAACTGGTGTAATACTGCAACCAGTCAGTAGAGGGAGTTCTAAATGGATTGGCTTCATGGTTGGAGAAACCTATAGCTTTCATTCTAATGTGCAGTCTATGGTATGCAAAGATGCTTCATGCCACCCCTGTACAAGCATTTTCAGGCTGTCTCACTGTAAGAGACGGAACATTTTCACCAACTACTGTATGCTGTGGAGCGGATTGGCTCTTGCAAAATACACATACTAATTCAAGACCTGTGAGCAAGCCTGCCTGCTATATCTAAGTATCACCTGGCATTTGTTCTTGATGTGCTTGCACAAAAAAAAGGTCAGTTTCATCCACAGGGAGATTTAGATTACAGTTTTCAAATGGAGTTTTACATTATTTATTCATATCTGTGGTTTAAATTTTCAAATAACATCAACACAGAATGCTTAACAGATGAAAAAGTTAAAAGTAAAAGCTTGTGGTAAGAAAAAAAGGAAACCAGGACTACTTCTGATCACAGCTCTAAATTAACGAGTTGTAGGTAGAGACAATGATAACCACTGTTTTTGTGTGACTGGAGGAAAATTCAAACAAATATCTAATCCAGGATGATTTACTCCAGTTTACAGTTACCTTAATGGACTCCAGTCATGGGTCTTTTTTAATGTGGACTCTCAGTAACATAAAATAAACACATGAAAGAGGAATGAACACACTCACAAATATTAAGAAACAAGTATGAAGTATGTCTCTGCAGTAACAGCCAACCTTCTGTCCATTCAGCACATCACAGTGTGTTTTCATTCTCACTGCAGTTGAAATGCAAATCACACCACAGACATTATTTGTGCAGCAGCAGCACCACTGTGGCTGTCTGAGAGAACTGCAGCATTACAGCCAAACTCCAACTGTGTCATGCACAGCATTATTTTATAATGCTGCAAGTCCTGTTTTTTATGTTTATGTTAATTTAAAGAGAGGATACTGCTACCGGACTTCTGTCGTATTTCATGTGGTTTGACACCCTTCATTAGCATTGATATGAAGGGCTATGCTGCTTGATTCATCCATGGAAATAAAACATATTTACTGCTATAGGGATTAGTCGGGAAATGAGATTATACATCTGCTTCTGAAAACATAGAACGATCTAGAGGCCATGTGAAAAAAGCAGCACAGAAGATGACAGCTAATGTAACAGAAAGCAGATCTGTTTTTCCACCTCTTAAACATGTCAGAGAAAATATATATTTTTCCTGTTTTGATGTGGAAATTCAACTGTAGGCTTTTCAACATGAAAACAGAGAAAGATAAAAAGCAGAGATATAATAATCCAAATCAACTCAAGAATCATCACCATGTTCAAAAATAGGAATTTAACACCTGAAAGTCTTCACCTCCTCCTGTGTCTGCTGGAGACACATCTCTCATCCCAAAGATTTCCTTTCTTTCCCCCCACTCTGCCTAATTCAACATCAGCTCACCACCACAGGGATTTGGCTCTGTAGCTCCCACGGTTGCCAAGCAACAGTGACGAGAAGCCTGCCTTTTCGATAATATGTGTGTGAGCGTGTTTGTGTGTGCTTTTGTGCACACCGATGCTGTGTTTTACAGGATATCCAGTCCAAACAATGACTCACTGAAGCAGTTGTCTGCATTTCTACTACTGTCTTAATCTGTGTCAATAACAAACAGCATGAATCAGTGTATTTCAGTCTTTACCATACTGATTTACAAAGGTTTCACACATGCTCTCCTGCACCTTTGTGCTTTTAGGAGCAGCTAATTCACTTTGAAGATGCAGTGTGGTCGGTTTAATGATATAGACAGTCATAGCTTGATGACAATAAATACCCATTATCTTGTGTACACAATCCGGTCAACATGAGCTTAAATTCCTTCAAAATGATCATGAATGGCCATTGAAGAAAACATGAATGGCCATTGTATTTTGCATTTACTGTCACATCCCCTGCAGCTTTACGGGTGATTTCCCAACCTTTTCTTCCAGGAGAAACAGATTAAATCCTGCAAATGTAATGTGTTACCCACCATTCTTAGCTTTAAGTTCAAATTGATGAATTTGCTTGTGAGCATGGTGAATATTCACCAAATATAGTATAGTGCACACTAGTCTGTCGTTGTGGACCCATCAGCTTCCTCGCAGTATGTCAAAGCACTACTACGCAGCCTCAGAGCTGCTTCAGAAGGTGCAAACTCATGCTCCACTCTTGCTTTTCTGTAAAACAAAGTTTTCAACATTTTGTGAGAGAGATCAAATAATTATGATACAGGGCTCCAAACCATTTCCATCTTCCAACAAAGGTACAAGAGAGCATCTTCAACTGTTCTGAAGCTCTCTGATCAAAAGTGTGAAAAATCCCGGTCTATCCTCAATAAGAAGTGCCTGAAAAAATAATGAGGACGATTCTTGAACCTCAAACACCTCCATCAAACAGCCTGATTCACTCCCACATCAAACTCTGCAGAGTTTTCTGTGTCTCTCAGACAAAAGCAAACAAACCTCAGCTCCAATAACCAGCCTTTGAATTATGATGTTTGTAAGCTCCTGTCTGCCAGCACTTTGCCTCTGCAGGCAAAGCTCAGAGCTGTCTGGGAGCCACTTTGCTGCTGTTCAGAGAGGAAATATGAAGGAAAGACGTAATGCAGCTTAAACCCTGCTGCAACAGCTTTACTGGATCCAATCCCAGATGCTTTTAAAAGAGTATCCAGCTGTCTATAGAGGGGAAACTAATGCTTATATCCTTTACTGGTTTACTCCCACACTCTGAAAACTGATACCAGGAACCCTCTCTCTTATTGAAATCACAACAGCTCACCTTGGACCTCAAACGCTCATTTGAAACAATATTTCTAGTTTTTCTGATTCTGAGGAGTTGCCTTAATATTCCCCAAAACATAAACTGTTTTCACCAAACGTCTGGCTTTGTTTCAGTTCCATTTTAATCATTTTCTTCATCCTTCTGAGGAGGATTAGTTTGGTGCAGCTTGTACATAAAATAAAACATAAATTACACTGCAACAAACAGAAAATAATCAAACTCAAGTGCTCAAATATGATTAAAAAATATCTCTCAGAGGCTGTATTTGTAACACTTCAGTCTAAATGGGATCTGGATACATTGATATTGCTCCCCTCCCCCTCCTTGGCTTAGATTATCATGTTATTGATTTCCTCATTAATCACTGCTCCTCTTCCAGAAGACTGATCAAATCCAGCCGCTGCCAACATGCATGCAGCTGCATCCTCCAGCTCTTAAGGGACCGGATTGGTCAGCGTGACATTTAGCTGTAATTGAATTGTGTTGTGCCCCCTTGTGGACGCTGATCTGTTGACAAGGAAAGTAAAGTTGTTTTATCGTCAAGTAATCACAAATGATGAGTCACGGCAGAGTCACAATAGTTGATATATGAACAAAGACACATCTAATGGTCTCTAAGGCAGTATAAATTTGATCAAACAGCACTTACAATTACAGTCTTACATATGGAGGGACGTCTGCTTCTGTTTTGCTTTAGCAATACAAAACTGTCCTGTAAGTCACTCCTACAAAGGAAGAAGCATAAAACTCAAGCTGGCTATCTCTGAGTACATCTGTTTATTCAAACCGCAGCAAATGAAAACCATTCATCACAGCCCCATCGTTTGACTTTTTCTAATCTGTCAAAGCCGAGCCAGCACACAGCAGTGAAATTAAAGACCATTAAAGTATTCATCTTTTCAAATTGCCTTTCTAATAGCGGTTGAGGTGGCTGCCGAGGCTACATTAGCAGCACTGATGAGAGGGGCAGAAGAACACACTCGTCAGGTGGAATGGACTATCACCATTGCTGTGCTCTCGTCTAAATGTGCTGAAGTGAGATAAAATGGCTGCCTGACTCAACACGGTGTGGGAACGTTAAACTGAAGATAAGCAGATCCTGTCATGTCTTGTTTTTCTTCTTTTTTTACAGGGAGTCAAAAACATAGACTCCTTTCTTATCTTCTACTGCAGTTCAGTTCAGGTCACACCTATATGAAGTCTCTTACAAAAAGCTGTGGAGGTGTTTTATTTTTCATATAGTCATAGTGTATATGGTTTGAAAACGATTGAGAAATGCTCCTCGTTCTTATGCAAAAACTAATTAAAATGGAAATGGTATGTAAAAACCATGACTGATTTGTTCCAGTTATGAGGACCATACATTCAACTGGCAGGGAAAGTACCATAAGAAGCTTTATTTCATACTGACTGATGAATTTTAAATATATGATCTCTAATCCACCCAAGACTCCCAGCCATATAATATGATATATTATAATATGATCCCAAAAGTTCCATTATATTATATTAAATTATATATAGTGATATGTAGCTGGCCAATTAACCTGTCTATCTCTAATTCAGGTTATCAAACTGTATAAATCATGCAATACCTTGAACACTATCTAATACAGGAAGTTTGTTTGTTTGAGGCTTTTCAATCAAGATGATTCACTGCACTTAACAATGGTTTACCTATCTCTTAGCTACCATGACAAATAAACACAATAATTGAAAAATAAATGAAACAGACATACTTGACGAAAAAATTGACTAATTCGGTCATTAGAGCTTTCCAAGTTCATATCTCACCAAGTTTAAAAGGTGAAGCTTATAGAAGTTGAAAATCATTTAAGCTAATTTCTCAATAACATAAGAAATATGTGTTTAAATAAACAAAAAGGAGGTAAATGTTCATAATATCTCGTACTTGAGAGTTATTTTAAAGTACCTGGTTTTTGGGTCACTTTTGCAGTATTGCACTGGTTCAGTTTTCAAAGATGTTGGAGTGAAAACACTGCAGACCCAAGATCAGTTATCACTAGAATGGTTCTTAGAAGGCCTCAAAGATCAGTTACAGCAGGCCTGGTCTGGATCTAACCCCAGCCCTTTCCTTACTCCACTTTATCACCACTGCGGCTCACATAAAGGCAAAAATAAGCTACAAAGAAAAAGAGAGCGGGGAACCGTTGCTTTTAATCAAACAGTTTTACATTCCCTTCACTGTGATTCTGAAACACTGCAATCAGCAAATCCTTGTTATGGTTGGCAAGCTGAGACATTTCCTTGTTTCTGTGCTTTATCATGCAGGAAATCATGTGACAGCAGTTTGTTTTGCATTGAGGAAAATAAAACCAGGAAAAGGACTCAGTAGACTGGGAACATTTAAGGTCAGTGTGCACTACTGTTGGGTTGGTTTCAGGCTATTCTGCTGACCTACAGGTGGCAGTAATGGGCAGAAATAAAACATCAAAGGCAGTGAAGAAGAAGGCTAATGTTAACCTTTATGTGTGTACATTTATTTGTGTATTAGCCCTCACTGCCATGGGGATTGTACTTTATTGGTCTGGCTTTTGTTAAAGTTTTATTTTTGTTATGAATGACCCCCATTATTTGCAGAAGTAGCAGAACAAGAAACGATTTCAGACATTTTCTGATGATGAAAACTGACAGTAATTTTAAGGTGTAGACACTCAAATGGCAAATAACCCTATCTATCCTCAGCAGTAATACAACTAACCTCCACAGGCCAAGTTGTAATAGCTGTTGTGATGTCCCTATGCTAAAACACGGTTTAAAAGAGCATTAGGGTCACACCAGATCAATAAGACTTGGAACCAGAGCCAGACTCATAACACCACTACAGCCCCAGGATGTCACTAAATCTGGGTTTGACACATTAAATAGATTTTCCTCTAATGATCAGCATGCTGTGGCATGAAAAAGTGATGGTATAGTGTGTGTGTGTGTGTGTGTGTGTGTGTGTGTGTGTGTGTGTGTGTGTGTGTGTGTGTGTGTGTGTGTGTGTGTGTGTATCACCTCAGGCTCAGGGTCCACTCAAACAGAGTGGTGCTGTCACTGCTATAAGCTGATGTGTCACATCTCCAGGGAGCTGCTTCATCACCTGTGACACACACACACACACACACACACACACACACACACACACACACACACACACACACACACACATAAAAAAAAACACCTGGCTGAGGCATCTTTGGGAATACACTGCTGTACTGTGTCAATGTGACACATTATATGTCTCTGTAGGGATGCCCAGTGAACACCTGCTCTCTCTGGTCAATGAATATCCACCTACGATTTCACATTAATTTAACCTGCTCTTGAAAAAAGTGCATTTGTTTGTCTGACTGGATCAGGGAAACAAATATACCTTGAAAGATGTCAAAGGTAATGCTGAAGCTACCCAGGGACCCATGATACTCAGACAAACGCAACATAATGAAAATCACGTTAACATGTTTGGTCGGGTGAAAATCACCCGGCGATAGTGTTCTAGGGTTAATGCTCTAAATACTGAATAAAGTCATAACAAATCTTGAATTTAATACCAAATGGAAAATTAGAAAGCCTGGAGTGTGTTAAATATAACGCTTTCATTGACTCTTCAGCGACAGTGACATCGTAGTATTTGCTGGAGACAAATATGAACCGTCATTTTTGAAAACAAGCTAAAAACAACTTGCAAGCTAATGCTGGTTAATATGTCTAAAAGAGTTTTCGCCCCCAGCTAAGCCTTGCCCTTTAAAAACGTCATACTGTTAACTATCTCTACAAGGGTCCTTATTAAATTAAATACTGAGATTATTGTGGTCAGCTAAACTGGTGTGCTGACACAGTAGTCATGTAGCTGGGACATACTGAGTTGCTAATGGCTCAAAATGACGTAGGCCAACTCTAATGATGTAACTAGATTTTTGTCAAGGTGGGTGTTAAAGGTTGAGTTTTAAGTACTTAGTGAGATGTTCTTCCTGTGGTATGAAAGTGTTGGTTTGTGTGATGAAGCACATGTATTCAGGCCATTAAAAGTTTTCTGTCAAAGCTTTGGTGAAAACTGTGTAAACTCTGATAAATAATTCAAAGACAACGATCATTTTACTGGAGATAAGCTTGCTGGGTTGCCATGGAAGAAATGCATGTATTATTTACTAGCAGTGTGAGTCGGACTGTAAGGCAGCTTACAGGCTCTTGGTAGTTTTTAGCTCTGTTCAAACAGCGAGGATTAGTCGAGGTAGTAATCCATGGGGAACAAATAGTGTGTCTGGGCTGCAGGTTTACCTCCGAATGAGACGCAAGGAGCTACACTGCAGTTCTGTGGACCATGTAATGTGGCAGAGGGTTCACCATGGAGGGAATGATGTTCAGGGACGGACAGGAGAAGTCACAGAAGCGGGTGAGGTTTCGTGTGGCTTCAGGGAACAGCGGCAGGGTGCTAAAGGAGATCTTCAAGGATGAGGGGCCTTCAGACTCCCTGGATTCAGACTGCACCAGCAGCTCAGACGCTGAACGTGCCAGCACTCCTTCAACAAGCGGAGACGTACCTGGAAACCTCTTTGGTTCACTTGGCTCTGAGTTGGACGATAGTGAATGCGAGCCTGATGATCTGCTCTTGTATGCAGGGGCCACTAAGGACTGGACGTTCAACACCAAAAGGGTCAACATACTCAGTAAAAATGGGACTGTGAGAGGGGTTAAGCACAAAGTCAGCGCAGGCCTGACTCTGTTCGAAAACCTCCAAAGTTCAAACTGTGTAAGTACATCTGAAAGATTGATTTAATTGTGTTGTGCACTGTCCTTTTTTAATATGTGAAATACTTTAAAACCAGTTCCCACCAATGCTGTTCCCACATCTAGTTACAGGAAGAGTCACATGTAGCTGTAAGGCTGGGATAAAAGGCCACAAACGAGGACAAGGTCACGGAGCAATTAAAGTTTAATGATGCATTTCGTTAAGTGTTTCAGGAGAAACTAATCAGGTTAATGAATTCCCTTCACTTCGCTTTCTAGTATCCCTTCACCAGCAAGAGCTGTTTGTTATTCTGAGGTTACTCTTAGCCGCAAAGTGAAACGAAAGGTAAGATGAAGAAACTGTTGCTGCAAAGTAGTATCAGGTCAGCAAAACGTCACTGTTGACAAGGTAAATCTTTTCATCATGATTAAGTGGATTAGCTAAGGTTAAATACTTTTAATGGCTCCAGGTTCATACTATAAGACCAGTCCGCTGCTTTCCGTCTTTTAAATTTCCCTAAAAAAGAGACAGTTGACCTTTAACCTTTTAAAAAATAATTCAGTCAACTTGCTTCAGCTTTTCCAGTAATGAACCTGTAACTTTATTCATCCTTATAAGGTAAATCTTAATGTAGTAATGCAGAAGAGAATGATAAACCCCTACTTTATCAACCCACTGGGACGACTGCATCTGATTTTATTCTCATTTTGCGTCTAACAAGAAAATCCAAACTGGCCTGGATGCACAAGTGACTTCATTTAATTGCGTTAAAAATGCAGAACCACTTTCTCGTCAGGTATCTCCTTTTTTAAAGAGACAGTACACCACAGTTTCAAAAGCTAGCTTAGCAATATTAGACTGCTGTAATTCCCAAACTCAATTAACGTGGAACCCTCTCCTCCGGAACGTCTCGTCTCCAAGATGTTTGGACACTGAGCGCTTTAAGAGGCAATTAGACGCTAAGCTATATAGTTAGTTACAACATCCAACTACAAAGGTCACTGTTACACATAATAGTGTGTAGTTGTTTGGCATGATGTTTGTTAACAGCAAACACTCACCACAAGCAGATGATGTGAACTATGTCCAGATTTTTTAATTATCAAGAGTTTGTTTTGACGTCGACTTCAGTGTCAGCATCTTGATTTTTTTTTTTTAAACGTCTCAACGGTAAATTAACACACCTCTGATTAGTAACAATTGTGGTTAGCCTGATCTTAAAGCTCCTTTTAGGAAGTTTTGCATTGACGTACAACCTAAGAGAAATAATGAAGCTATTTGACCGTGATCTTGTTTGTGTTTGTACCTCAAAAAAGGTTACAGTTTCAGAGCCAGTCCACCACAAAAACATGCAAAAAATTCCTAACTGGAGCTTTAATCAGGCCTTATGGGTATTAGTCTGAGCAGGAACTTGGCTAGGCTAATCTGGTGAATTTTTAAGAAGACTCAACAACATAACAGAAAAGTTAAAGTATTATTTATAAAGGATAATTATTATTTATAATTACCTGTGGGATGAAAATTCTAACTACACTTGTGTCTAAAATTTAGGTTGAGAATTGATTTAACTAGTTTAGCCCTTTTTCGATAACCAATTCTCGACCTAATAATGACTATTTCAAAGTTTTGTTTTGGTTTGGTCATTTTTAATTTGTGAACAAATAAAGGAGGTAAGAAATGATTTACCCAAACTTCATATTATTGCACTTGAAACATGGTTTTTAATCAAACATTGTTAAACCATTAAGAAATCCATGAAGAAATCATTGGGTTGCAATGCCTTGAGAAATTCTTGATCAGTCTTTGTGATTTGTAATAACGCAAAAATGTAAAAGCTGATTATATTTTTAGCAATTAAAAAGCCATAAATTAATACATTTTTTACAAACAGTATTTAACATAATAGATACAGCTAACAGTGAAAACAAGTGACAACTATTTTAATACAGTTAGCATTACTATTATGATCCAGTGACATAAAAGGAGCCACATTTACTCAAACTCACCTTTAACACCTACAGAAGATTACAGCTGATTTGAACTCAATCTCTTTTTGAGTAAATTTATCTCTAACAAGAAAATACTCAAAAATATAGATACATAATCCAGATTTTTCTCTTTCTTTTAGGTGGAGCTGTCTGTTGAATGTGGGAGGATAGTGATCTACACAACAAGTTTCCGTGTGGTGAGGACGACCTTTGAGCGCTGCGAGCTGGTCCGTAAAATCTTCCAGAACCACAGAGTGAAGTTTGTGGAGAAGAACATCGCTCTGGACAGCGAGTACGGGAAAGAGCTGGAGGAACGATGCAAACGCGTGGGAGAACCTCCCTCATTACCAGTCGTGTTCATTGATGGACACTACCTTGGGGTCAGTCTTGATTGCTGATCAAGTTTCAATATTGGGTGCATTGATTTATGGGATATTGAACTGTGGTGTTAAACTTGTGTTGCAGGGCGCTGAGAAAATACTCGGCATGAATGAATCAGGAGAACTTCAGGATCTTTTGACAAAAATTGAGGTTGGTTTTGAGTATTTTTAAAATATTTAGAGTGGTCTTGTAATAGACAATGAATTAACACCTCGTGTTTGTCCAGAGTTGTACACATGACCACAGTATGCAGAAACAGTCAGATCAGCTCATTATCAAGCATGTGCAAACTGGAATGTTAAAGATGCATGCACATCAATAAGCGACCATCAATAATGAAGGGCTTGTTATTGATCCTGCTTCCAACACGTTTATTTCAAGTGAGCCTACACTGAGCTGTTTTCTCTGTGGTACAAACTTAGATTGTGTAAGCTAACATGTTTTCACTGAACTGCTGCGCTGCTGTCACACAAGCTCAGGCCTTTTCTCAGGCCCTGGTTGTTATTCACAGCCAACAAAAGTCTTCATAAGCCGATATAAAGACGTGTTATGACATTTAAGTCATGCATTCCAGTCACTGCGGGCTATTTAAAACGTGTGCGGCTCTGAAAGGTCAGGCAGACGCTAATCAGTCAGGATCTGGCCAGAAATGTGGCCATATTGTGTGCTTGGTGAGCTGATAGGAATCTATTTAAATACAATGTTTTAAAGAAGAACACAAAATCTGGGGCATATGATACAGTCTTACTTTGGGCCCCTCACAGGGAATTAGAAGCTACAAGTCATAGTAATAATACATCAGGTTTTATATTTACATTGGATACATCATTCATTCATTCACACAGTCACACTTTGGTGGTGGTAAACTATCTTAGTAGTCACAGCTGCCCTGGGGCAGACTGACAGAAACGTGGCTGCCAGTTTGCGACTATGGCCTTTCCGACCACCACCACCACACAACACTCACAATCACACACCAGTGGAGGACACACACTGGAAGCAGGGTGGGTTAAGTGTCTTGTCCAAAGACACAATGGACAGACCAGGGATAGGGCGGGACTTGAACCGCCAACCTTCCAGTTATTGGCCAATCGCGCTACCTCCTGAGCTACAATCATAGTCTGATATCACAGTTAGAAGAGTGTCAACATTAGCTAGCATGGCTACTGAAAATGACGACAATCAGCCTAGCTTTAAGGTTAAAAACATTCTTAATATAAGACCTTAAAGGCTCACTCGTCAACATTTGCTCGTGTCAGATACATAAGTGTAGAACTGCATTCACATAAAGCGGTCTAATTTCCATGAAAAATCATAAAAACCTGGTGAGAATTAATGCAACGTAAACCCCACTTGTCTTGCAGTCACATGGTAGAATAAGCTACTTGGTGCATTTTGCTGAAGTGTGAAAGCAGACACTAACATACATTGTAAAGCTCCTCTTAAAATAGTTGAATGGATCGTGAAGAAGGAGGTATTTGAGTTGGTTTTACCTCAAAGCTTTGGTGTAAATAGCAGACTTTGTTTCTCTGCAGCCATCAGCCCAAACTTGTGCGCTCCTTCCACCAAGTAAGAAAACAATCCAACTGTGACCTTTTACTGGGAGTAAGGAGCTCAGATGTTGATGTAAAGGTTACCCAGCTTGATAGTCTAAATGAGAGGAAAACACAGCATGTGACAGCCTATTTCTGGCTGTCTCTATTTTGTTTTTTTAAATCCCTTATTCTTCAGGTCATTCTGCTCTCCTGTTTGGCAGTCTCACAGGAAGTAAATACACCTGAGCAAGAATTTGTCATAAAACCTCAATTTCTCTTTTTATTATGAATTTTTTTGCAACATTTTCCACAATTAAGTCTTACCTGTGCTGGTATGCAGATTTTCTATGATTGGACAGAGCCTATCTAACTTTTTCCATGTGGTTCCAAGTTATCATTCAATGCTGAAGTCAAGTTACAGCGGATATGACTGATTTCTTCTTCAAAAAAGCAGTCACCCAAGATGAAGTTAGGGTTTGCGACTGTTGTGTGTGGTGCCATCTTGCATAGCGGTTATCACTGCATGGACAACTCAAGGGTTGTTGGTGCTGCTCACTGTGTGGATCAGTGGATTACGAATGTTAGACAGCAAAAAATCCTCTCAAGTCTGGAATGAAGATATAATCGAGGATATTTTGTCTATTTTTTAGAGGGTACAGGATCCCCAGACGTGCCAGACCTGTGGGGGCTTCGCCTTCATCCCCTGCCCAACGTGCCATGGCAGCAAGATGTCTGTGTTTCGAAACTGCTTCACGGATTCCTTCAAAGCCCTCAAGTGCACTTCCTGTAATGAGAATGGTCTGCGGCCCTGTGTGAGCTGCAGCCAATGAGGATGTTAAGTGCCTGACCCAACATCTTCACTCTGGGACTAAACACAGGACCACCTTACAGTGGATTTGAGACACAAGCAGTGTGGTGACATACAGCAGGACTCCTCTTCCAAGGCCATTGTTAGTTAAAAAACAAAAAAACAAAAAAGGAAAGAAATTTGTAATAAAATCTGTGACTTTGTGCATCTTTTATTGGTATGGTTCATCTGTATTACTTAAATTTACATCTTAAAAGTTTTTGTCCATAGACTGTATATAGTCCATATACTATGGACAACTTGGTCTCGCCTTCTGCCAGTATACGGATTTGAAGCCGAAAAACTCTCGGTAATTCCACGTTTTTTCTTCATTTCCTGAAAGCAACATTGCGCAGTAGCATTGAACACATTCAGCGGGAGAGTTGCCGAGAGTTGCTGTGAGAACGCTCGGTATCCCCGGGGTGAGCTACGCAATCTTTGTATGCCTATAGGCTGTGTAAAGTGTCAATCATAGAAAACATGAACCCCCTAATAACTTTTAAAAACGGAGCTGTACAGAAAAAAGAGGACTTGAGCACAAATAAGTCTTACAATAACTACATGTCAACATCACAACCAGGGGGGGAAAAAATGTATATTCTGTGTAATAAATTTCTAAAGTTTGTCCACAGCTCCATAGGGATTGCTGGAGGGGGTGGGAGTTATGACCTATACTGCAGCCTTTCACCAGAGGGTGCTGTTCTTGCGATGTCTTCACACAGCGAGGAGGCAGAAGGCGTCCATTCTATATACAGTCTATGTTTCTGTCACATGTGAGCACATGTAGATGCCTTGAACTCGTTTCACCTTTTAACTTTAAGCTTGTTATTGAATTAGCGGGAGGGCTCCTCCATTAACAATGCCTCATCACTAATCCTGCATCAGACAGAGTTAAGAGTATCTGCGACCCGGGACAGAAAGGGAAAGTAGGAGAGTCATTTTATAGTTTGCCGAGAGTGTCACACTCAATCTTTAGACATCATCCTAACCTTACGCCAAATTTAACAGGTGTGTGTGTGTTTTTGGGTTGATCAAGCTAACATAAATGAAGTCTTAGTCTTAATCTTAATTCCAGCATCATTCAGGCTTTAGTGATCAGTTCTTGACACATGCTGATTCAGCTGTATGGTAATTTATATAGCTGGGTCACTGTGCTTTATTGTGTTTAATCACACTGAGAGAGTTTTTTAATGAGCTGGCATAACTTACCTAAAGAAACAATTTGTTGCCAAGCTGATGCATTTGGTTTTAACTAGATTTACCTCATTAACTGTCTGTAGAGGATAGATTGGAAAATAACCAGACTCATAAAACCAAATCAATAGAAACAAACAGCTTTAATACTTTTAAATAGTAAATGACAAACTTTGGAGCAAACTCACATTTAAAAGGATTAGTGGATTGGCAAGAAGAAGAAAAACTAGTAACAAGGCTTGTTTCACACAGAAAGGTCACTTTTTGGCATTATCATGAGATTATATAACAACTGTTCCGGTTTCTTGGTTTCAGAATAATAATTGACTGTAGAAGTGAAATTCTGCAGTTGCATGGATTATCAAGTGTAGGAACTCTTGTATTTTGAAATTTTAACATTTAAAGACAGAATCAGTCGCTACATTTGTCATGATGCCATATGAAAATGTTGCCATGGCTCTCCATCTGTTACAAACATTATTTTTTTCACTAGGGTTTCATTATCATCTCTTTAAAGAATATAAAGCTCATTTCTTAATTTGCAATTTAAAAAAAAATCACAGTTGAAATTGTGACCATTTGGGGCTTCCATAATACTGTCACTGTTCAACATGAAGCAAATTATCAAGCAAAAATTCACGTTTATGATAATGAGATCATGATTTTGCAGATGTCACACTTTGCTTTTGGGTTATTACTCCAGTATGGTGAGGGAGGAATAGTAGGTAGGGTAGTAGGGATACGGCTCAACTTACCCCGCTCCTATGGTCAACTTAACCCATACACGGGGTAAATTGACCACAGGAGACCACTTTTTTTTGGCATGCAATATTCTCAAGACGGTTATGTTTGCAGGAATGTAAAACATCTTGAAATATATGCAGATACACTAGTTAGAGACAAAACTATGATTGCCTTGATGTAGTGATCAGAAATATGAAAAATGGCTCATCTTACCCTACTCTCACCTAAACCAATCGGGACAATCTTCTAGTTGCAGCCCTGGTTTACAGACATGCAAATGGCACAAAAATATTCTCCAGACTTCTGTTGTAGAGAGAGACACATTTTGTGTTTAAAGGAGGGGGCAAAGTTCCAATAAATGCAGTGAAAGAAAAATAATTCAGGAAATACATTGAAAACAGCAGTTTTTTTTTCTAAAATCACGTGGTGTTTATTGCTCTTTGATATACAAGTCACGGGCTAAATGTTTTATCCAAAAGCAGTAAGGCAGCGTCACTAATTGGGTCAATAATGTCTATTGGCTGCAGAGGGATTTAGGTTGGCATTGAACGGTTGATCCCAATTACAAATCAATGTGGTCCAGATTTCTATCAACCAAAACAAATACATTTTTTTCACAGCAACACAAAGGCAGGTCCCTGTTTTTTCCCCGATCACACACAATGATCGCCGTTTTCTGTCTCTGGGATGATGTCATTGACTGGCTGCCGTCCAAAGGGTCAGAGAAACGCAGCAGCAAAACGAGCAGTTCAGCTCTCTATGCTGTCATAGCCCTGTACAATGCTGCTTGAACATGATTAGACAAGGCAGCACTGTAAAGAGGCTAAAAGCGTAGAGCATGGTGGTGATGATGAAGATGATCCGCCATCAAGACTTCCCCTTATGCCAGCAGCCTCCACCTGGATTGTTCTAGACGCTCGGGCACCTGTGATTGTAACAGCAACCAGATCGATTATTCACAAAAACACCAAACACCCATAGACATAGACACGATGCGTACACATGGGTACATGGTTGTCTGCATGTGCAAATGGGAGGAGGTGATTGCGTTTCTGCACTCAATCTCGTTGCTTTAATTCAATTCCGCACCGAAGAGTAATGGGGGTTTGGGGGTTTTATAGCCACAGGGTTGCATGAAAATCTTAAGAGACCCCGACTGTGCTGGTTTACTGCGCCCCCATCTGTGTGCTGCCGGAGATGAAAATATTAAGGAGAAAGAAGCATCGAAAAATCGACCAAGAACAGGCACATTTATTACAGGAATACACACATTATTAATAATGATGCTGAAACTAGCGATGGAGCTGCGTAAAGACAGAGGATATGTTTGGTGACAGGCGCGTTTCGACGCATGTTTCTTCATAATTAAGATCAAATCAGCCCAATTATCTGGCCGTGTTTCTTTCTCATCGTGCACAAACGAGTCTTTCCTTTCTTCGAGGAGGGGGAGACATGAAAGGAAACACGATGGGCAGCGGCACTGGCACAACTGACTGGGGAAATGGTATGACGAGACATGACACTGATATGCGCGCAACACCCAAAATGTGAAGACAACATTCAATGGTGGAAAAACCTGCTGTGGAGCTTTGTCCGCATTGTCTCCGCTCTTCGAGGCTCGGCGAAAAAATACATTTCAGTCGAGTAGTCTAGCGTGGTCCAGCCGCGATGCTGTGCGTAATGTTTTGAATGGTCGGTCAATGCGCAGACTGGTTGGAAATGACTGTTTTTATTGACGTCAGCGTGCAGACAAGTGCACCCCCTTTCTATCAGCCCTACAACTGCACCATCTAATGGACTTGGGGGTAACATTTTAGTCAACCAGCTGAGCTTCAATCAGAGAAATGGGTTTTAAATCAAAAATGAAGGCTTGAAATCTTACCTTTTTGTCCATTACGCGTTTGTGCTCTCACACACAGGAAGACCTCCAATATCTTCAGAACTTCATTAGACCGGGACAAGTTCTTGTTTTCCTGTATTTTTACCCATATATTTGTACAAAACCAATTCGATCGAAGTTGGGAAATTGTGATAAACGTAAATAAAAACAGAATACAATGATTTGCAAATCCTTTTCAACCTATATTCAATTGAATACACTACAAAGACATTTAATGTTCAAACTCATAAACTTTATTTTTTCTGCAAATAATCATTAACTTTAGAATTTGATGGCAGCAACACGTGACAAAGAAGTTGGGAAAGGTGGTAAAAAATACTGAGACATTTGAGGAATGCTCATCAAACACAACAAGTGGGGTTAGGTTAATTGGACACTTCCAAATTGCCCATAGGTGTGAATGTGAGCGTGGATGGTTGTTTGTCTCTATATGTCAGCCCTGCGATGAACTGGCGACATGTCCAGGGTGTCCCCTGCCTTCGCCCGAAGATGCTGCGATAGGCTCCAGCCCCCCGCGACCCCGGGAATGGGAATAAGCGGTAGAAAATGGATGGATGGATGGATGGCTCATCAAACACCTATTTGGAACATCCCACAGGTGAGCAGGCTAATTAGGAACAGGTGGGTGCCATGATGGGGTGTAAAAGCAGCTTCCCCAAAAATTATCAGTCTTTCACAAGCAAGGATGGGGCGAGGTTCACCACTTTGTGAACAACTGCGTGAGCAAATAGTCGAACAGTTTAAGAACGTTTCTCAAAGTACAATTGCAAGGAATTTAGGGATTTCAAGATCTACAGTCCATAATATCATCAAAAGGTTCAGAGAATCTGGAGAAATCACTACATGTAAGCAGCACAGCCAGAAACCAACATTGAATACCCGTGACCTTCGATTCTTCAGGCGGCACTGTATCAAAAACCGACATCAATGTGTAAAGGATATCACCACATGGGCTCAGGAACACTTCAGAAACCACTGTCAGTAAATACAGTTCGTCGCATACATACACAAGTTAAAACTCTACTATGCAAAGCGAAAGCCATTTATCAACAACATCCAGAAACGCCGCCGGCTTCTCTGGGCCCGAGCTCATCTAAGATGGACTGATGCAAAGTGGAAAAGTGTTCTTTGGTTTGATGAGTCCACATTTCAAATTGTTTTTGAAAATAGTGGACGTCGTGTCCTCCGGGCCAAAGAGGAAAAGAACCATCTGGACTGTTATAGACGCAAAGTTCAAAAGCCAGCATCTGTGATGGTATAGGGGTGCATTAGTGCCCAAGGCCTGGGTAACTTACACATATGTGAGGGTAACATTAATGCTGAAAGGTACATACAGGTTTTGGAGCAACATATGCTGCCATCCAAGCAATGTCTTCTTCATGGACGCCCCTGCTTATCTGCAAGACAATGCCAAGCAACATTCTGCATGTGATACAACAGCGTGGTTTCGTAGTAAAAGAGTGCGGGTACTTGACTGGCCTGCCTGCAGTCCAGACCTGTCTCCCATTGAAAATGTGTGGTGCATTATAAAGCGTAAAATATGACAACGGAGACCCCGGACTGTTGAACAACTGAAGCTGTACATCAAGCAAGAATGGGAAAGAACCCCACCTTCAAAGCTTCAACAATTAGTCTCCTCAGTTCCCAAACGTTTATTGAGTGTTGTTAATAGGAAAAAAAATAATAAAGTTAATGAGTTTGAACATTAAATATCTTGTCTTTGTAGTGTATTCAATCAAGTATAGGTTGAAAAGGATGTGTAAATCATTGTATTCTGTTTTTATTTACATTTATCACAATTTCCCAAATTCAATGGAATTGGGATTTGTACTTGTGTTGCATCAAAAAGATCAATAAATAAATCTGAGCATGTGACATAAAAATGAAAGCAAAATAATTTAATAAATTACTCAAATTTATTCCAACTCCTTCAGCAGTGACAACATAGTTATAACCAAATGGCAAATATTACACTATTAACACCTTCAAAAATATATATCCACAAGTTCCCCCTCCATGACTAAGATGAAATGTCTTTGCTGGCCCACCTTTTGAGACGGGACAGGCAGGTGTGGGCCATGCTTCAGCTGTTGCAAATATGCAGAACAAAAACACAGTCACTGTTTATAGAGATTATTCAGCGGAAACACAGAGTGGGAGATTATTCACTTGATCATTTGGTACACATACTGTACAGGGTGATAATCTGGATGCCTTTTTTCATGTTGACAGCTGTTGTCGCTTCTTTACGAGTAAGATCTTCACTTTTTTTTTTTCATTTGACCCTGTGTAAAGATTAACACATCCTATAGGCAGTAGCTGATTAAGTGCTATTGTATTAAACTTCAGCTCTGTCGTACAATCACGTTAATATTTTCTGTAATAGCAATAAAATCTAATTATCCAGAGAAAGCCTCAGCAGCAGCATCGTGCTGTTTCAGCTCCTCGGTTTGAATGATAAAACAAAGAGAAAAAAAACTAATATTGTCTATTAAATAAGTCTCTTTTGAACATGTAGCTCTCTGGCTTCCTTTTAACTAAATAAGGAAATACTATCACTGTGGTTCAAGCATTAGGTCTTGAAAATGACACTGGTCCTGTATTTGAGATTTTTGTAAAGTTGTCATGATTTTCTCTCAAGACACATTCAAGGAGGAATGTGAGCTCAAGCTGTAAGGCTGAACCGTCTCGTGTTTGTGTGTTTGAGCGGTTGAAGATATACACAGATATTACTGACAGTCTTGAGTCTGTGGTCAGAAACGCACACTTTGAATGCGTGTTTCTCTGTTTATCAGGTTGAAGTCTTGGTTTGAGTAACCGAAGCTCGAGCAACACAAATAAAACAATCACTGTCCGAACGCTGTCCTTGTGTGTAAGTTGGACTAATCTACAGTAAGACTTGATGACTTGTGCAGAGACTGTGGTGTGTTTTGTGATGATCTGGATGCATGGCAAGACTGGGGAGGCAGGCTTGACCCTCCTTTCACCTTTTCCTCTCGTAGGTTCTTCCCCTTCCGACATGATGTCCCCTCAGCAGAGAGCCAAAAAAAGTTTTATAGGATCTCCAAGTCTACGTGACGGACCTCTGGGTTACGTTGCTGTGGATGAACATGACAAGGTTACTTACAAATCTCTGTTCTTATACTTATAACGTGCATTTTCTGAGCTAAGAAGCAGCTTGTTTGTCGTCTCAAAAACTGGGTGGGTATCAGGGGCACTACATTTAGCTGGTTTCAGTCGTATCTTTTCGAGCGAACCTTTGCGGTCACCACAGGCAATCACACCTCCTCTACCTCTGCTATTGTCTGTGGTATACCGCAAGGTTCAGTTTTAGGTCCAATTTTATTTTCTAATAAGTCGAGTAGTAGACCTGAGGACCCAAGAAGCCCAGCTGCTGTCATGGACTGTCTAAGTGACATTAACTGTTGGATGGCACAAAATTTCCTTCAGCTAAATTATTCAAAAATCTGAAATAATTCTCTGTAACATACAAAAATCCCCCCTCATACAGTCTTGTCTCGGCAACCATCAAACCAACAGCCAGAAATCTGGGAGTAACCCTCGATTCAGACCTCACCTTCTCCACCCATACCAATAAGATCGACCAGTCCTGCTTTTTTCACCTGCGCTCCATTTCAAAGATTAAATAAATACTCACCCCACCAGATCTCGAGAAAATAATCCACACTGTCATTTTCTCAAGGCTGGACTACTGTTACTCTCTCCTACCTGGTCTAAATAAGAAATCACTCTCCCGCCTCCAGCTAGTTCAAAATGCAGCAGCTCGGCTTTTAGCTAGTTTTAGTCGACGGCATCACATCACTCCAATTTTAGCCTCCCTTCACTGGCTTCCTGTCAGTTTTAGAATTTTAAGATTTTATTGATTACTTTTAAAGCACTCAAAGGTCTTGCTTATCTGTCATCTCTCATCTCTTTTCCCTATATCTTATTTCGGTTTTACCGTCTTTTTAGCTTTTGTTATACTTGTACTCTTAATTAACCTTTTAGGCCTTTTATTGTTTTATCTCTTGCTCATTTCTGTTGCTTTATTTTATCATTACTTTTATTACCAGGATCACCTGTTATTATTTAATTATCATTGTTGATATTACCTCCTATATTTACTATCCTGTTTCCGCTTTCTTCCTCCCTTTTAATTGCTTTTTATTTTTTATTAACTATTTTATGTTTTTATTTTGGTCCTCATGGTCTCATTTTATGTTGCATGGTTCTTGTATTGTCTGGCTTCCTTATGACATGAAAATGGCCTTCAATTCCATTATTACTGAGCTTTTTGTTTTTGTCTTTTTCCATGTGCTCTATGACTACATGTCAAAGTACTTTGTAAACTTCTGTTCTTTTTAAAAGTGCTATACAAATAAAGTTATTATTACCATAAGTTATTATATTGTTTGCGATCACTTAATCACTTTTTTACACATTTTTCAGTGATGCATAATATTGTCTATTATCCTTATTGGCAAAATCCCCCCAAAATATCATATTTTTGGTCAATATCACACACCCCCAGTCACTGCCTCTTTTTAATACTCCTAAATGTATCTGTTTACAAACATACATCCACAGTGAAATCATACAGTGGTTAAGAAAAGGGGTTTCAATGCATGTTGCTTCTTCAGTCAACCAACTTGATCTTTTATTGAAATACCTTAAGCTCTTTCTCCAGGCGGTCCACCTCAGCCCCCAGGGTGTCAATGATGTTCTCTCCATGTTTAAGCATGAAGTTCTCCAGCTCCTCGGGGGTCTTCACTTGTTGGATGTCCTGCAGAGAGAAACAGGCATGCGTGACTGAAAGTTGACTTTTACTGCAGAGGTTTTGTTAGTTTAATGAGCTTAAACAAAGAAAAACCTGCTTGTTTAGTGGAATCAGATTTCTACTGCAAACATTCACAAGTACAGTTTCAACAGATATAATCCTAATCTCTACTCATGAACTGATCATTGTGGTTTTTGTGTGCCAGATATAGGAAGCAGACAATATTGGTTGGTTGCTGGTTTCTTCGTTTTTGCTCATTGTGATATCAAGAGTATCTTTGAACACTCTGTTTTGAATACAAAAACAAAGTCAAACAGCTACACGACACACCCAAAATACAGCTGAACAGGGAGGAGCATATATTTCTTTCATATAAGGGAAAGCAAATATTATGAAAATAGGTACGTAAGAAAATGACTGAAGAGGGACTTACATTGAGGATTTGGTCAATGTCTTGTTTTTCCAGATAAGACCGTGTAACCACTCGTCCATCAAAGTCCACTTCAGCCTTGAAGCGCACTTTACTCAGCCCCATGTCAGTGGCCTTCACATCGTGGATGGCCCTGCTCGAAATAACACACAACTTATTAGGAAATCTTCACAACACAACTCAGGATTTTACTTCAGCAACAACAAAACTTTCTTTTGAATGTGTTCATCACAGAAGTCTTTACTTTCAATGTCTCAAAAAACAAGGTATGTTAACTTCATGTGCAGTGCCCTGTGTGTGACACTCCACAGATGGTTGCATGGAAAGACCAGTAAGTACCAGATGATCTATTTTAAGCTCCAGTGTTGTCCACTAACACCAGTGGAAGAAACATGTGCTCATGTTGCTGGTGTTTGGATAATGACTCAGGATTATTTGAAATTCACACGTAAAATCCAATCCTGCTGCATGAATCGCGGATGTGTGCGTGTTCTTTTTGAGTGTGATTAGGCTCAATCTCTGACCTCACAGCTGGGTCGTTTTCGAGGAACTCTGTAAGCTTTTGCACACGCTCTGCCTGTATGGAGCGTCCCAGCAGAGCCTCTGTGTTGGTGTAGATAAGGAAGGCTGAGACAGCGCCCAGCAGCGTGCCAACACCGAGGGAACCTATACTGTCGTAGTACGGGTTACCTGGAACAACACAGGTGAAGGATACTTCTGGTTATTGTCAACATTTTAATATGAGATTAAAGGAGCAGAACAGAGAAGTGAAAGATTAATACAAGGGTGAGTTAGCACATCACAATAAATCACAGCAGCGATAAAGAAGATGACGTTTTCAAATAACAGAGCTTGACACTAAGGCTGTGTCCGAAATGGATCCCTAACCTCTATATAGGCGACTATATGGGGGTTAGCGCCATTTTGAGGGGTGTCCGAAACCTGAGTGATCAATTCCAATGCCCCATATAGGCGACTCAAAATTTCCCATAGAGCATTGCAAAATGTAGTGACCATCCGATGGTCACTCACCGGCGGTGGGCATCCCGTCATGCATTGCGTCTTGCCATGTAGTGTCTGAAACCTCTGGTGATTGAGTTCACTACATAGTCAACTATATAGTGAAACCCCATATGGAGGTTAGGGATTAGGGATTAAGTGATTCATTTCGGACACAGTCTAACTTTTTTCACAAGGGGCACATGTGCTCCTAAGTTGAAAAAGTAAGGTGCACACAAAGAACTTTAGGGGCACAATGAAAATTGATCAAATAATGTTTGTCTTATTGTCTGACCTTAGTACTATCATTTGAAATCAATTTTAGGTCAATTGGTCACATGACATGGAAGCTATTGAAGGAAAACATTCTTTTCTGAGAACATCAACTGGTAATTTATTGATGGTCCCTTATTCAACACCCGACGTTGACAGGGAGGTTGCCGAATACATTTAACCGCACTGCTGTTGCTATTCCCGGTTATGGGGAGTGAGAAGACACCTGTAGAGCCGCGGTGAATGTCCGTCGAGTATCCAACCTAAAACCAACTTCACTGCGGTATTTACATGAAAAAAACATTTGTTGTCTCAGCTAATTTTTTTAACGCACACATGCGGCCCAAAACACATTTTACAATTCGCACACATCTATTTTTTGTCACACAGGCGAGTGAAATGGTCGCACTGTTGAGCCCTGAATAATTTCTTTATTTGTGAAGAATCATTGAGGTATCTTGTTACAGATAAAGAAAATAAGGAATAGAATTAATATGTCATAACTGTGAAAGGCTGCAAATACAAAAATTGCTACAACTACGTCACCGCTTGATTTATTTTAATACAGAAATCTTAAGATATTGTTAATAACGTCAATGGAAGTCTACCCTGTCCATAAACGTAATATGTTTTGAGGGATGTAGCTTATATAACTTGTGAAGTGAGGAGACCAGACCATAGAGTCTTTGTTTACCTGTGAGTGAGGTGAGCCCCATACAGCCAGCAGCCATTATGACTCCTAAAACAGCAGCAGCATCCTCCAGCAGCACTACATTCGTGCTCGGGTCTCGACTCTGCATGACTGCACGCACAAGACAAAGCAATAAAACATGAACCCAATCTGAATTTTCAAGTGTCATGCATCCACATTACATCAGTCTGTGTCATTGGCGGCCTCGTGTCTATCAGGTTTCAAACTTCCCCTCACAGCATGCAAAGTGATTTGGCCTGGATGTGTACCGTGACAGAAAACACCTGGTTTCATTTTACCTGAGAGGACATATTCACCCCAGCAGGATTATAACCTGGTCAGATTAAAACAAAACTTTTGCCATTTGGTTGTATTGTTAGGAATGGGCCTGTTTTGTAGTGTTTTAATTCAATCTTGAGTGATCTTTGCATTTCAATCAAGCATCTTGAGGACATTTTACCTGAATTTTTAATAAGGAAAGACTAGAATGACCTCAATCTTATCAATGCTGTCTTTGTGTCTTAAGGCCCCAAAAGCTGCTGGTTGCAAAAAGAAAGTTTACATACCATATTCATAAAAAGACAATCCCTGCATCTGGGCGCTCTTCTTTATCTCATTGACAGCTACTAGTAATGTGGCTGAGAAGTGGAAACAAAGAGAGAGAGAGATTTCAGCACAAAATCCACATTTTTAATAAAGACTTCAACAGTTTATGATTTTCAATTTTTAACGCACCTCCTTCAGATACTAGAGAACCTGCCAAAATACAGTAAGCCTGTAACACAGAAATGTTATTATTGATCATATTTTAAGGAACACATTTTGCATCGTGCTCTACTTACGAGAGCTGAAACAGAAACTCACCCATAACAAAGATTCCATAGGTTCTGGGTGCAGCAATCCCATGATGCCATGGTACCAGGAGAGGCCTGCTCCCATCATAAAAATGCCCACTCCACTGATGAGGGAGGCGATATAGCGCATGTTGGAGAAGCCGTACCTGAAAATCACATGAGGTCTTGAGTACAGCTGTGTTGCTGTGAATAACCTCATCTTCATATCCTTATCCCAAACACGGTGTGCCCCAGGGGTCTGTTCTGAGTCCTATATTATTTCTTTATACACTATTTTTGAGCACTTGGCACAAAAATATGGTGTCTCCTTCCATTTTTATGCTAATGTTATTCATTTGCTATTCATGTTGAGTGCATGACATGACTGTATATGTGACATTAAAAACTGGATGTCTTTAAAAAAAAAAATCCCAGCAGCTGCTTAAACAAAATCTGCCACCTGCTGGGTTTCTAGTGGATCACATCAAACCCGTTGAAGGGAAACTTGGCATCTGGCTTGACAGCAATTTGATTTGAACAAGACATCACTGAACTTGTACAGTCATGTTTTTGACATCCTCAAACTATCTAGAATCTCTAAACATAAAGATTCCTGGGAAAATTGTTGCTTAAACATTTTTCTTTGAAGCGCTTGATAGTGTGGATTTTGGAGAAGTGCTCTATCAATGAAAAAATTCTTATTATTCTCATTATTTAGCTAGATTTTCACAGAGTATGCTCTTTTTCTTTCCCTTCTGGCCATCATTATTCTTCATAAACATCTACTCTGTTTATAAAACGTACTCCTGTTTATGAACATCACGGAGAACAGTTTCACTTTGACTCTAGCTACTTTCTTTTTCACTTTCTATTTCACTTCACTCTCATGTGTAATATTGACCTATTTTGTCTTTCAGGAGCGCCCACATTCCTCTCATCGTTGACAAAGTAATACAATGTGATTCTTACGGGTGCCCGGCGTCAGGGTTGCGGACAGACTGGCTGATCCCCAGGGCGAGCAGAGCTTGGTTGCACGTATCGGCCAGAGAGTGGATGGCTTCAGAGAACATGCTTGCTGATCCAGTGTAGACCCAAGCCAGGAGCTTGAAAAAGAAGTTCAGCCCATTGCTGACGAGATAAGAAGAGTTGGATGAATTATACAGAGGAATAAACTTCAAGATTAAGAGAGGGCAAACCTGTAAACAAAGTGAACCCAGAGACAACACTGAGGTTTTAAACATTTTCTTGAAGTTACATTAAACAATATACCATTATTCAAAGTATGCATTTTTAAACTACTGTGTTTTACTGTAAAATACTCTTGATTTTATGTTTAAATGTTCTTTAATAATATCCTGAATGAGAAGTTCATCAGTCGAGTCCCGTGAGTCTTTGTGCATGTTCATTGAAGGAAACATTCTGCTGCTCATGTGACTGCACATGTCCTCTAACACAATCATCCTAATCCAATAGATCAACGTGCCTCATGTGAGACAAGGTCCAACGCATTTTCTCATCTTTAGAGCTTGAGAAAGTCAAACTCGGCAATTCTCTCAAACAAGAGTTTTGAAACAGCTTTAAGTCCACTTGTAGTCTGTGGCTGTATTATAACATGTGATATCAGCACACTATTTTTGTTCAGCTTCAGTGTTCCATTTTCCAAACCTCACACTTGCTGCTCTTTAGCTCAGGGGAGTCTGACAGACTGTACTATTCAACTAAACAGCATTAACAGCAGGTGAGATGGTGGAAAGTATGCAAACTTACATGCAAATAGCGACCATGACTACCTTCCCAGGCCCTTGTAGAAAAGTTCCCCTCTTTCCTGATCGAGGCTGTTTGAAACAAAGAAAATATAATGAGTCACACTGAGGCAAACAAGGACAAAACTACAACCAAAAAACAGTCTGAAAGGATTTTTGTAAAAAGAAAAGAGAGAAGATTGACTTTATTGTCTGTTAGTTTAGCTGGTGGTTTTAAGATAAATGCAAATATGCTGATCGGCCTGAATATCAAGAATGCATGAGCAACCTAATGCGACCCGATACAAGAGCGCTAACTCTATTTCTACTGAGTAACACGTTTGTTCGTAAAGTGGACAAAATATAAGGAGCACCTTTTAAAGCACACGCAAAAAATGAAGGTACTCCTTCTATTTGGACAACCCTTTATAGTTTATGTTACTGCATTAAGCACACTGTGGGAACAATCAACAAGCTGGTAGAGTATAGAATATGCGATGACATGCCAGAAAGGTGCAGCACAGTATAATAGTCATTGAAAAAAACCATCCACACCCAACAGTAAACAGCAGTGCCTGCATGAATGCAACACATAGTGACATTGTCATATAGATGCTGTGAACTCTGTTAAAGGGGCAAACATACAAATACACCTCTTGGGCAGGAATAGCTGGATTTCTTCTTCATGAAGCTGCTTACCTTAGTGTTTCCCCAAAAGTCTTTGTACTCTTTCAACAGCTGCTGATTTCGAAATATATCTAAAGATGAACAAAAGAGAAAAAAAATCAACTCACACACAACACAAGCTGCTTATTTGTCTTCAGTTTAAGGGTGAAATGAAAGTACTTAGGTTTTTCTTTGTTTAATACAAGAATTAAGCTGACAGACTGTGTGCTTGCTTAGCATGAAACTCTAACCCTATCACAACTTCGCTGAAATGACAGCATAAATTGTCAATGGTATAACTAAATGAACACACTGTATCTTGTTTGTTAAATGCATGCAGACACGTGATCCTTTCTTGATGCAAGGATCAGATGTTAGACCTTTCTTAGTTTTGATCAGCAACCCTTGAAGTCTAACTACTACCAAGGAAATACTTATAGCAAAAAAATATTAGCAAATAGCATCTTGACAAATGCATCAACTGTTTTACTTGTTTTTGTTTTTCTTAAAGGTCATGTTTCACAAATCAGTGAAATGATGGATTCATTTGATAGTATACTGGGAGTTATTCAACTCTCCTAACTAACCAAACCAAACTAACCTAATCATTTACAAACAAACAAATATTAGAGTTGTATTGATCCTCTCCTCTATCTGCCTGCCACAAAGTAAACATTTTTTGATCCTTCCTGAAGTACGGTGGATTGTATGTTTACTTTGATTCGAATCCAACAAAGGAAACAAATATTCAACCTACTCTCTTGGTACTCTCTCTCCACCTCTTTCCTGAGATTTCTCTCCCGGGCCAAAGCTTCATGGCTACCCCAAACATCAAGAGCTCTGATGGTCACACAAAGAAATAAATGAATGAATAAGATTTAAATAAAATTATTCATTAAAAAAACTGTACATCTTTATTTTGATGTATTCTTAAATGAACTAACTTTGCCTCCACGTCAGATCGCAGAAACACAGTGAAAGCTTCTGTGTCGTCATGAGGGCTGCGCCTTCTGATCTTCCGAAGCTGCTCGAGATCACTGCCATCAAGAAGGGGGAGAGGGGTGGAAGGAATGGTAAAAAAGAAAAAAAAGGTCCAGTGAGAAATGATGTTAAGAAGCGTACTATCAGCTAATCACAACAGCACGGCCACAATTAACTCAAAGGAATTCAGGCTGCGGTCTGCCAGCGTCTCCAAGAGCACAGTTCAGTGCTGAATCATTCACCAAAACATCTCTGGGAACAAAAGTTACCTGGGTTTGAGGCAGAACTCATTCATGGCTCTGACTGCTGTGATAAAATTGTTCTTTGTGTACTTGGCTCCATAATCCCTTTTCTTTAGGACTGCCCGGACTGCAATAGATGAGAACACGGTTTTAGTCACACTGTAGTAGTTGTGTTGTGAGTCTGATGTGGAGCATACACAGATCTGTTACCTTTCACTTGAATTGTCTCAGCTTTTGTCAGCCCCTTGGGTGATGACCCTTTAAGAGAAAATCATTCAATTAGACTGGAGCTACAATTGTTCCCTGATGATTGCACTGACAGGGCATGCAGCTGCTTATAATACTAAAAATAACAACAACAACAACAACAACAATACTACTTCTACTATGACTAATAAAAATAACAATAAAAACAACAATACTACTACTACTACGACTAATAATAACAACAATAACAACAACAACACTACTGCTACTACTACAACTAATAATAATAATGACAACACAGCAACAATACTACTCCGACTAATAATAATATTAATAATGTTAACAACAACAATGACAATACTACTACTACTATGACTAATCAAAATAATAATAATAGCAACAACAACAACAACAACAATACAACTACTACTACTACAACTAATAATAATAATAATAATGACAACAAATACAACAACAATACTACTACTTCTATGACTATGACTAACAATAATAATAACAACAACAATACTACTACTACCACTACTACTACTACTATGACTAATGATAGTAACAACAACAACAAAAACAACAATAATAATAATAATAATGCCTTTTTTAACCTTTTACATCATTGATTTTATTTCTCATAATTCTCTGTATTTTAAATTGTGTTTAATTCATTTTATTTTCTTCTTTTTCATTGTAAGGCGTCTTTGAGCACCTGTAAAAGCGTGTTATAAATAAAATTTATTATTATTATTATTCACGATAACCTTAAGAATCAAGTTTGCGTTGGCAGACAAGCAGAAGGGTGAAATAGAAGAGCCCACACCAAACACAATCTAATAATCCAAACAGTTTAAGAACACAATAGTGGATTATCACCTGGTGAAGCTGACAAGATCTTCTCTGCTGATGGAGGTTCACCTGCTGCTGATTTAGGAGGACCATCTTTACCATTACCAGAGGTAGAGTAGTAGTGCACTTTTCCCAGCCCGAGAGAGGTGACACGGCAGTCTGGAAAGCTGAACCACAAACTGTGAATGCCTCCATTCTGCCAACCTACACAGAACAAACGAAATGGGTGTGTTACACAGAAAACTAACACTCGGGTTTAAAGCCACAGAAAGTGAGAGTTTTATGAGAGTATATCACCGTAGCTCAGCTGGGAGAACCTCGGGGACCGCTGAGACAGGGGGGCCCTGTGCTGCAAGGAGACCCTGCAGAAGGCATGCCACGGTCTGTGGGCCAGACTGGGAAACATCCTCGCTGTAGCGGGGATCGGTGCTGGACTTCTGGAAGGTGCTGTGCGGAGTCAGAGATAGTCCGGTCAGTGCTGCGTTAGAGCTGTCAACTTAACCCAAACAGAGAAAGGACAAAATACCTCCTCCTCCTCCTCCCTATACCTGACAGATTCAACACATGGTATTAATGTAGCTTTACGCAAATACAGCTATTTCTCTGAACAAGCAGTAACTTCAGAGAGTAAGACGTGTCATTGACTTTAACACTTATGTCTGTACCGGTCGGCTAACGCTAACATGACCACAAATCTTCCATTAAAACCTATGGAGACAGAAACTTAGCTAAGCTAGCTCGCTATCATCATCTTATGCTAATAGCGTTATCCTCCGTGGGAGACAAGTGCTGTGTAACATTTCCAATATCTCTTAAACTACAAACACACTCATCAGAATAACTGTCTGAACCCCCTCTGAAATGTCGATACCTTTCTATAGTGAATTTTGTTCTGCATAATCTGTGTCCATTTCGAGAATCTATGACCAGACTGATAGTACCGCTGCTACAAACACACACACACGTGACCTGTGACACAAAAGTGACGTTAGTTTTTCTCGCGAGAATATGTTGGGTGTCTGTGATATGCCGGTTTCTCTCGCGATATTCTGTGGAGCGATGTACAAACAAGGTCATGTTCTGTCAGAGTTCTGCCGTTGTAGTGTTAGCAACAAACCACATCATAATACACGAAAAATTGACCCAAAAGATGACGTTTATACAATCATGGAATAAGTTATGTTTAATAATCTGGTTCATGGAGACTTTTTAATAAGGTTAGAGCAAAAATACCTATAAATGTTGAAATTCCATAAGAACTGAGTCACTCAAGAGGATAGTATTATGTGTAATAAGTTTTATAACTCTTGATACCAGCTGAGCTATGCGTTATTGGGTTGTAAATGGTTATCAAATACTTTTATGGTTATCTGATTTCACATTTAGAACTTGTTTACTTCACTTGGTGTAAACTGATGTAATATCTCAAAATTTTGTTGTCAAATGAAGATCCACTGTTTGAATATGAAAGGCACTTTATTTCTTGCACAAAAAGTCCACTGCAGAGAATAGGAAAGGTCACTAGGAGAAGAGCATTGACTTACAACAAAACCATGTAATAAAGAGACAATACTTAACACGATAAATTAAGAAAAAAACCTGTAGGTTTATTGAATCTTCGGACAGTACAGTATATGTGTTAGGACCTTGCATTGTTTCTTAATAGAAGCCTTAAAGAGAAGCAGTGATTGTGATATTAATCTAACATATAACTGACGAATCAAACACATACACTAGGAGGGAGGTCTTTTGACTTCCTGTGCAATCACTTGACAAAAATACCTGCAGATCAATCACTTCCATTTCACAATCATCAAAATGGAATCTGGAATATTCAATCAATAATCAAGACCTACAGTACAGTTCAGGGAGGCCATAATTCAGTCTTGGTCCATTAAAAAATTAAAATAAAAACACTGCGCACAAATAAGGTCACTAAAGAAGCAGGTAGTTTTAGAAAGCAAGTCGTCAAGCTGATTTGAGAGAAGTTCTGAGGAGTGACCCGCCCTGGTTTACTGGTTTGGGCGTTCAGTGTAGTATGGGGTGTGTGTGTTTGTATTAGCGCATTGTGACAAACTCCTCAGACGAGGTGGGGTGAATGGCAACAGTCTTGTCAAAGTCTGCTTTGGTAGCACCCATTTTAATGGCCACAGAGAAGCCCTGTAGCATCTCATCACAGCCCAGACCCTGCATGTGCAGACCAACCACCTGAAGAAAACAGACAGGAGATTAATGATTGCCCAACGGTAACATTGATATTTCACTTTGTTCTATGTTCTCTGACTTATTCATTGTGCTCTCAACAGAGAGAGAGAGAGAAAGTAAAATTAAGCTTTTTTAACAAAGGTATGAACACACCGACACTCAAAAGACTTATGTATTATGACAGCATTTTGTTCTGGGCAGGGTTGCAGTCACACTGATAGAGATTAGGGAAGAATAGCTGGTGAAACTGGAAGAGAATTAAGGAAGATATACAGCAAAAACAGCAGAAAGGATGACATTTTGAAAAAAGACCCTGCAAATAAGAGAGACTAGATCTCATTGTAACAACATCAGTGGGTGTTAGCAGGCTTGTGTAGACACGATGAACAGAAGAATCCTTTGTTGACATAATGACCTGAGGACAAAACATTGCTGAGAATAAAAAAACTCCTTAATGTGTCATATACAAAGCAAATTGAGTTGAGAAGAAAGGACCTTGAAAACACAGATATAACTCTATCAAGACATGTCATCCTTCTTTTTTGGGCAATTTAAATCATGTAGGCACATTTTTCTTTTCAAATAAGTTAAGCACATCCTTCTGCAGGACAGCTGATTACAGCACTTCAGGGAAATGAAGAACCACTAAAGAAGCTGTGTTTGCATCTTTGATCAGTCCTGTCCTAGTGAAGCTGTAGAAGTATTAAACCGTATGCCCCCTCAAAATTAAAGAATGGGCTCATTGGTGACCCTCTATACTTTTAGTTATACATTCACAACAAAGTTATAATTGAAAATTCTATTACATGAATTAGTTCAATTTCAGCATAATACTGATGAAGCTAAACAGGTACTACAATCAGATGCTGTATTTTTATAGTGTATCAGTCCATTTTGATAAATTCTTATTTTTTTCATTCACTGGTTATCAGATTTTTTGAAGATTATATGAGACTAAAGGTACCTTGTGTAGTCTTTTCTATTTCTACACGCTGTATCTATCACAGTTGATGTCTTTAGAGCTAATCTAAGCTATAATGTTTACAAGAACAAAGATGTGTATTTTTTCACATAAAAAAAAGTTTTGATGACATTTTTTCAGCAGCAGTAAAAAGTGTCAAGAACCGATGACTCCTACCTTCTCCTCTTTGCCCTCACACACCAGCTTCATGACACATTGACTCTTCCTGCTCGTGATGGCGTGATACATGGGAGTAAAAGAAGTTCTGTAGATCTTAACATTCTCCTTCCCTCTGGATTTAATGGCCTCCTCTGTTGACAAAAAAAAACAGATTGAACCATGATATCAAACTGAACAAAACTGGAATTTATTAGAAACACTTATGAGAACATACAAGGTACATGCAGGTAATTTCAACAATGTGACGGTTTAACTTTGATTTTAAAACTACTCCACACCTTCTGTGAGGCCCACTGTCCCAATGGGTGGGTGGCTGAACACCACTGTGGGGATACAGGAGTAGTCCAGCTTGGAGTCCTTCTTGCCCTCAAACAGTCTGTGTGCAAGCTTCCTGCCTGCAGCTATGGCAACTGCACAAACAAACACAACATCACACTAAACAACTACGCAATCTTTACTGTAAACCAGAGAAACAAGAATAAAGCATCAGTGCTGTTGTGGGATCTGATAAGAGAGTATGATGAGCAAATTTCAGGAACAACTCCAATGAGGTCAAAACTTCCATCCCTTACCTACTAAGTAATAAATGTCTTATTCAGCTGTTGCAAATAAGACATTGGACGGTTTGTACACTAAAATTTAGCAACTGTATCACATAACAGGTCACAAACAGTAACGATTTTAATACTTCTGCTGCTCTATTAATATGTCACTGTATGTCACAGGTCACGTAATGGTTTGTATGAAGCAACCAGTTTATTTTTCAAGTTTATGCAACTTAGATTTGATTTGTAGAGTAAGATTTTTTTTATTGATTCTGGATTATAGTTGTCAAAACACACTTAAGAACTCTCTGAGGTGTTCTACTTTACAATGCTTCAGAACATCTCTTTTTATGAGATGCTCACCTAAAGCAGGTGAAAAAGACATTCATGGTACTCACTCGTGTTAGTACACATCAATGTAGAACATAATGTAGTCAAACTCGTCTGCATGAAAAATTATGCCAGTGTCTAATATTGTCAGAAAAACAAAGTATATCTCACAGCAATTTCCATAACCCCTAATATGCTTCATGAACTACAATAAGACACGTCTGTGGCTCAGTGGTAGAGTTGGTTGTTGCTCAACCAGAAGGTCGAGGGTTTGATTCCAAGGTCCTGCTGTCTGCGTGTCCCTGGGCTTAAGACACTTGACCCTACTGCTGACTACGCCCAGTGGTGTGTGAGTGGGGTTAGTTAAAAACTGATAGCGCCCAACATAGCAGCCTGTGTCATAATGTGTTATGAATAGTTGACAGACATGTGATGTACAAGCACTTTGAGTGGTCAGAAAAGTAAAAAAAGCACTATATAAACACAGTCCATAAACTTGCGATTGTAAAAATACATTAATTGGATACAAAATCAATAAACTCTCACCAGGTGTGAGGAGAGCTCTGCCACAAACGTCTCCTACAGCGTAGATTCCTGGTCTGCTGGTGTTCTGAAACTCATCCACTATGATGTGGCCTTTTTCGTCTGTATCCACACCCTACAAGCAAAGAAAACATTGTTGTCTTCTCCTTGTTCAATGTTATGACTTAGTGTCTCTGCACATGTCAATGTCTGCTTTTTCACTACATGCCATAAAGAGCACAGCACACTGTTACCATCTCTCCGATGTTCAGTCCAGAGGTGTTAGGATGCCTGCCGATGGCCCACAGAAGACAGTCTACCTCCTCGATGGTTCTGATCTTGTCCTCTTCATTCTTCTTCTCTGGGTCTTTCGTAGCGAGCGTCACCTCCAGTCCTCTGTCCGTTTTCCTCACAGACCTCACCTGAGAGTTCTTCCACAGATCTACACCCGCGTTCTGCAGTTCTTTGGTACAGTTTGTGCTAATGAGGCTGTCGAAGTTCCTCAAAACCTGCAGAGAGGATACGAGAGTACATGGAGGTCTCAAACTCAGCTCTTTAAAATCTCCATTCAGCAGATGCTGTGTGGTTCTGTGTGTCTCTTACTCCTGATTGTCGAATAATGAGGGAGGTTTTAGACCCGAGGGTGCAGAGGATGCCTGCCAACTCAACTGCAATATAACCTGCACCCACAATCACACTGCGCCTGTTAGAAACACAAGATTTTAATTAAAAGAAAACACCTAAAAAAATAAAATCCCTTTCAACAAACTTTGCTTAAAAAAGAATGAATGAACTGCTTACTTTGGCAGAGTTTCAAGTTCAAAAAAGCCATCACTGGTAATCCCCAGATTTGCACCTGAAATGATAAATCAACACACATTTTTTTCTTCTCAGTATCTTGAAATAGTCAAACAGCTCAGGAAAACATGCATGAGAGTGGAGTGTGTCTGACCTGGAACTTCAGATTCACTCAAAACAGAAGGCTGCCCCCCAGTGGCGATAAGGATGTGAGGAGCTGTGTACTTTCTTCCATTAACCTCCACAGTCGGCTCCGGATCACTTGTAAATCTGGCGTGGCCGTGAATAGTTTGGATTTTAGCCTGAAAGAGAAAAGGTGTTTTAATTTTGCATCGAAAGTACCACAAACAGAACCATCAAAATAATCTTGACGAGCACAGGCACATGAAATAACCAAGACATTCTGAACATGAACTTACTTTGTCGAGATTATTGCGATAAATGCGATTTAGGTGACTAACATAAGCATCTCTTTTGGATTTGAGGGTTCTGGAAAAAAAAACAACAACAACAACAGATTTTACATGTAAAATAAGAGGTTGTTATTTTTTTACACATTTACATAAGCAAGAAGAGACACTCAAATGGGTTCACATGACAAGTGCAGCTGAAAAAAGGAGGGTTAAGAGACAGAAAAAAACACGACACATGAAGATATAGCTACTAAAACATGCAACCCAACATTGCAGATACTAACAATGGTATTAAAACATATTGTATATCTGCACTGGAGTAATTTAGTGTGATGTCTTATGAAAGTTTGGCATGAAATTTAGCACCATGATCACCGTTCCTAAACCAAACCCACAAAAAAACATTTGCAGCCCTAACCAGAATTTCCAGTTTTTCCTTCAGGGATTGTTACTGGCAGACGTTGGCACGAAAGTCTGTTGGACTATGTTCCAGCTCACTGACAAGAATGATGAAAACAAAAAGCCATTTCCTGCATTTCTAAACAACTCTGCTGCAACATAAACACTGAGTTTCAGCATGCTTGTGCTGCTAGTCTTATTCCAAGTTCACATAAACACTGTGAGATCTTCTCACGCCGCATGCAAAACTCTAGATCATTACCCATCTTTCGTGTTAACAGACAAAATATGATGGTTGATTATCCAGATGTGGTGCTTCAAAGTACAACATACATTTAATGTTACTTCTTTATTTCTTTGAGCTTTTTTAATACTAGCCTGAATAAACAGAAAGGCTGAATCTCTATTACCTGTATTGTTTACACAGAAGAAGCCCGCATACAGTAGGATATGTTTCGCTTTAATTCATACAGCCACACCTTAATATGACCCTCAGCTCTGTTAAACTCTTGTGATTAGTGATTAATAGATCTTCTGGTGTAGTAGGCGCCCACTCCCTCCACAGGCTTATCTCTCACAGTCACCTTGGATGACTTACACTGAACAAACACACGAACCTAAGCGCTGGATTTATGTTTCTGTCCATAGAGAAGTGAGCTTAGGTGAAGCAACAAAAGACACAGCAGACTGAGAAGCAGCGCCATGAAATGGATACGGTTAGGTTCCAGGAACAAACAAAACGTGTTTCAACATGGCGCACTGTTACACAAAAAAGTGAAGAAAAAAAAAGACACCAGCAGACACTTTGGTAGGTGATACTTACTCCCAACTGAAACGGAAATTTTCAACGTCAAAGCCGTAATCACTGTGATCATGGAGATACTCAGCATGAACTGCAGCGTTCCACATCACCTGCAAGGAGAGGAACAAGGAGGACAATGGATTTATTGAGAGTGGAGTCAAATTTGGTGATTGTGATCACATTTTCAAACTGTTAGAATAAGGAAGAATAAAAGGGCAGTACCTTCTTAGGGACACAGCCAACATTGACCTAGAAATCATAAGAACAGCACATGAGCAAAGATCAGCCTGAACAGTTCAGTTTAAGCACATCTCAAGTTAGTGGGAAAATTCTGAAGAAGACTTCACTCCACTGGCATGGTACGCCCACACATAAAGAAAACAACACACAAGAATCAGTCAGCATACGGAACTAAACTTATTCAAATATATTTGTTTGTACAAATTTCACTTCAAGCTTGGATTGTCACGTTACAATAAAAAGCAGATCTACAGTAAAACGGCTGAAATCAACATCACAATAAGGTGGAAGTAAAATGAATCGTTACACGATCTGTTAAACTGTGGCTTTTTGTCAAGAATGGAAATAAAAACTTTCAATAACTTAGTTGTTTGCTCCTTATTTGAATTATCGTGGATTTTATTAACTTTTTAATTAGCAGACTTTGATCGCACCGCCATGGCACTATCAAACAGATATTCAAGGAGTGATGTGAAGGGCCTCAGCTTTGTTCTAACAAAATGGCAGATGACCTCGTCTTCAATTTACACAAGGTTTTTAATAAATTTTGATTTGTCCATAACTGTATATCTTGCAATATGATTACATATAAACAAAGCCTATGTCTAAACAGAACCTATGTCTAGACTTGAAAAAAAATCACTTCTCATTGTCAACTTCCTTCTTGTTAAAGCAACCACATTGTCTAAGTTTCGGCTGATAACACTTTAATGTTTAATCTTTGAGGCTTTTCATTAAGTTCACAAAAAAACCTTATTTAAAAAAAAGTTATTTAGCTGTAATTTAAATAAGAATGAAAATCAAGAGCTGAAACAATATTGTGTGGGTGTGTTGACTAATCTAAGATAAGGTAAAATTTTATGTACAGACTATTTAGTTGATTGTAATAGTTTGTAACACCGGTTCACCTGATGACACTTATTTATCATGACTTTTGGAGGTGGTTGTGGTTCATCTTGTATTTTAAATGCATTTTTTTCATAAATAATATGAATTCCACCTTTTTTTATTGCATACTGCTTTGTCTGACCCTCTTACAAATACCTTGTAGTCAAAAAACTAACCTTGTAAAACAGGAACCAAAACTAAGAATTTTGAAAAGCATAAAGACTACACTTACAAAACATCATCAGTAAAATCTAAGATAAAGTATAATTTTAGGTACAGTGTATTTAGTTGACTGTATTAGTTAGTTATATCACACATATAACACCAGTACACCTGAAGACACTTTTTCATCATGACTTTTGTAGGTGGTAGTAGTTTATCTTGGATTTCATAAATGATATGAGGTTAAGCCTTTAGTAGATTTATTTTCATAAATAATGTGAATTTCACCTTTTTTATTGAATACTGCTTTGTCTGTCCCTCTTTGATCTTATCACTTGCAAATACCTTGTAGTAAAAAACTAACCTTATAAAAAAGGAACCAAAACTAAGAATTTTGACAAGCATGAAGACTAAACTTACAAAACATCATGAGTAAAAAGAGTTAACCTACTTTTGGTTGTGTCCTCACTTTGTAAAGTTTCAGTCTATCATGGTTAGGGGAAAGCTTATCAGTACAGACGCTTCAAAAGTCACACAATGTTTGTCGTTCACAACAAAAAAACTTCGACAAAAGGAGTCCGGAGGTTTCGCAGTGAACCTGGCAACCGACATGCGTGTTAAAGCTGCAGAGGCCACAGAGGCACAGTGACAGAGGTCGGAGAAGGATAGCAGTGTTTGGTTGTATTTTTACTCACGCAGGTACCTCCGAGTTTGTGACTCTCGATGACGGCCGTGGATGCACCGAGCTCCGACGCCCTCCGAGCCCCGGCCAGACCTCCAGACCCGCCGCCGATCACCAAGAAGTCAAAGCGGGTGGTCTCGGTCGCCGTCGGGTCTGAGGCCATGCTTCTGCGGATGAGTGCGTGTCTGCTGCTGCTGCGAAAAGACGAGAAAAGTTGCTTCCTGAAGATGAAGCAAAAGGAGGATTGCGTCCGAGTTAGCCGGATTAATATTGCCATAACCAGGAAGCTCGCGGGGCAGGCGTGTGTGTCCGACAGACGGCCAATGGGAGGTGTCAAGAGAAAGCCAATGCTGTGTCATTATGAATTACAACAATGGTGTGTAAATCCCAGAAAGGGTTTTCACAATAGTCATGGTGATCCTCACATGAACTAGGCTCACAATAACAGGTAAATGACAGCGGACTGTGCCACAAGACTTTCAACGAATAAATACATGATTTTAAAGACTTTACATGACATTTGAATGAACACGAATGAAGTATATAAAGAAAAGGTCATTGCAATTTGAGGGTATTTTTGACTCACCTAGGTAGAGCCAGAGACACTGACACAGAGGGATAAGGAAGCAGTCTGCAAATCCTTTTAAACAACATCTTTTAGCCTCTATATGCCATTTTAGTTTGATACATTCACGGACGAGCGCTGTCCTTTAGCCCCCTGTCCACTCTCAAGCGGTGGTCTCCCGTGTTTTAACTTCATTATGTCACGAAAACAAACGCTGTGAACTGCTTCCTGTGTCACTGAGTGAACCCGCAGACCCACTGATTCATGTGCGTATTATTGAGTAAAATTGAGACTTTACTGCAAAAAATATTTTTTTATGAGTTGTGTATATGTTAAACGTTTTGTAGAAGTAGTATTAGGTTAAAAATATATTTAAAAAAAGACTTTTCCTCATTTTCTCTCCAAGACAACCGTTCGCTTTTCATCAACTTCAGCAGCTCTGAAATGTAGACGATACAAGTTGACGTTTCCGGTTATAACTTTCAGAATAAAAGCTTGTACATGCGACGACATGCTCATAAGACCGGTTTAATACTTATATCACACGGTATAATTCAGCGTTCATTATACAAAGAAGAGTGTTATAGATAGAAATAGATTCATGATTAAATAGCAGGAATTATTTTCACCGTCTAGTCGTATTTTGAAAGCAGGGCTAACTTGTTCCGGTGATATGTAAGCGAGCTAGGGATTGAAAACGATCAGGGCCAAGCGCCTCGACTGACCGTGCTACCGAGCTCAAGTAACGTTTTCCTACGGGGAATTTCATCCTTTTAAAGACATAACAGCTGAAAACACCGCAGCGATAATATCGAACAAGGTGTGTATGAGGAACATGGTTGTGTTTTTATTGTAAATAGTTGAAATGCGGGGCAGTGCCAGTGCTATCCCCTTGTTGTGGTCACACAGGGCCTCAAAAGAAGACGACCCGGGGCAGCGGATGGAGGGCGCAGATACAGATTTTATTACAAGGGTCTATATTCGGTTGAAGTAACGAAGCTGAGCCTATTTGTAGGTTTGCAAACCCGCAAACAAACGCCGAACAGGGGCTGAAAACGGTGTACGGTTATCCGAGGGGGAGGGGCCTTCAGGGCCTTGGCTGAACGTCAGCACCGTGCCGTGTAACCATCCAAATCAAAAGACTTGATAAATCTGACTCTCAGGCTCATTCACAGGCTGCACTCTTAAAAGCATCCCTGTAATTTCTCCTTTTTCTCATATTCTTCTCCTTACAGGTTGCATAAGTGTGAGCTCCTGCAGCTCCTCCAATGTTGGGGTCCAGCGTCAGATCTCACCTGCCAACATGAAGCCTGTCAGCTTTCAGAGCATACCTCCGTCCATCAACGTTGGACATCCCAGTCTGGTTCTGGAGCAAGTCTTAACCACTTCAAATGTCATGCGTTGTGAGAAATGTGGATTTGCTACTACAGACTCTGCTGTTTTCAAGAAGCACAGGCTGGAGCACATGGGTATGCGGTTTTACTGTTTTTACTGCAACAATGTCTCGTTCAGTGAAGCGGAGTTAAACGCTCATCTGAAGCAACACACTACTAAATACCCCTTCGCGTGTCCTCACTGTGGACAGGGCTACATGAGGAGACTGTGTCTTGTAAAGCACATAGAGCGTCTGCATAGTAGAAACACTATTCAAGGAGCTGCTCAGCCCGGCACCACAAAAAGTTCTCATGTATCTGTCTCCAGTGCCTTGACAAGTGTCCCCACTGCTGACCCGTCCCCACTCCCACCTACTGTTCGGGTGACAGTGCCCAAACCCAGCGTACCTGTTATCAGACTGAGCAGTGATGAACACAGAGGGAAAACACTGGATAAAACCATTTCACACGCCACTAATGGTAAATTAGAACTTTTGCCCCCTTTTAACGGACTCATTCAGCAGAACAGGGCTCTGACAGTCTCCCTTCCAGAGGAGGTCAACATCCCTGCTGGCTGTTCTGTTGAACTTGTGGAGGTGAGGACTGTCAATGGGACCAAGGAGCTAAAACTTAGGCTGGTCTCTCAACAAGAAAGTGACTCAGTAATAAAAAACACAAGGACAACAGTCTCTGAAAACACCCCGCTTGGGAGGCCACTACCTTCCATGTTGAATCATCCGAACACAGCAAAGTCTGTGAGTTTGGGGACGTGCATAGTAAACAGGAAACCATATGAAATAAAGAACATAAACGCAGATGTGCCCGCTGTCGTTCCAGTCAGTATCAACAAAAACCTGCCAAGTCAAGCCAACAAAGAAAAAAGTGGATTAAAGAGACCGTCAGAAGAAATAATCGACCTGGAAGGTAACTCCGGGATTCCGAACAAAATCTCCAGAAGCATCTCCAATTCCATAAGGGAGGGCGCTAACGGGATCAAGTTCGTACAGAGAGAACCTATCACCCAAAATGCAGCTGTGTCCACTCTGACCTCCTCCAGGGCTCCCAACAGGTTGCCGAGCAACCTGCACCCAGAAAACATGGGAGCGTGTGTTTCTCAGAGGACGGCAGACCAGAGAAGTAATTCAATGCCACAGCAATCCAGGAATTCCCCCCAACAGAGGACAGTTGAGTTGAAAAGTGTCCCTCGAGAAGCATTAATGGCTGCAAAACTGGAGTCCAGGGTTCACCTCAACAACAACAACAACAACTCGCCCTTAAACATGAAGAAGGAGGCAGTGGATTTGAGCCAGCAGAAATCCAAAACACCATCTCCTGGTTTGAGTGTTTCTTCTGTCTCAGCCATCCAACAAACACCGGCAATGAATTCAGTCTGTAAAGAGAAACCTGCAGGTCTGTCTCTTCCCTCATCCAGAGCAAAAAACGGGCCTTTATTGGTCAAAACATCTGTGCTCTCCAATGACACTCCTTCAAAGATTTCAGCTTGGACACAGGATGTTAGACTAAAGGCAAAGGACGGTAAAAAGGATGTTACCGAGCCTGAGAGTTTTCCCGTCATTTCATCTGTATTTTCACTCAGCCAACAACCACAAGATGTACAAAGCTCCATCCAGCCTTTGGTCATGGCTGCTCTACGTGGTATCGCCGTGAATAAAAGTTCTGGAAGTACGTCACCAGATGAAAACAAGACCACAAACAGCAAAGACGCTGTGAGAGAGCTGCTGACATTAAGGCACTGTGCTCAAGTGTCCACAAAAAAAGAACCCTCGGCCCTTGACACTCCGACTGCCCAGACCAGTGAGCCGATAAAAGCAGAGGAGCCCGATAAGGGTATTCAGGCCCAGCCCCCTCTCAATCTTCATGTCAAGGAAGAAAAAGATGGTTCAAATCCGACCAAAAATAAACGAACTCAGACTCTTAATATGAAACCTTTGAAAGTTGAGAAGTCTGTTTCTAACACTGCCCTACATGTAGACGCATCTAAACCGGAAGAGTCCTCGACGCCAACACTCAAACATCAGCATCAAGTGTCTTCGAAGTTCCTGACCGTCTCTCTAAAAAGGGTACAAGTGGGCGTGTGGAAAAAGAACAAGAAGGGACTGAAACTTCGGATATCCAAATGTAAGACTCAGGGACCCGTGGGCAGTCCTCTTGATTGTGCCGTGTTTTATCCGATGCCGCTAAAGAAGGACCAACCAGTGAAACGACCGGGACCTAACCAGCCTGTGGTGGTGCTCAACCATCCAAAGCCGCGAGGCTCGGCACCGGCTGCGAGGACGGACTCTTTGTCAGAAACAGGAGCTGATAAGTGCAGAATTTTAAAGATGAGGCTGAGCAAAGTGGTGGGGCAGAAGTACGAGGTGATGGGCTGCACTGTGGGAGTCTTATCTTAAGGTTATCAAACCGTAAACAAAGTGTAAATTCATAACAACAGGTCTAGTATTACAATGGGGCATGTTGACTTGAAATAAACAAAACATCAGGGCAGGTTTTGTCTTTAGGGGGGATTGAAAGCACCAACAAATTCTGAATATTTGGACATGATTTTACTTATCTCATCACGGTATAGATGGATCATTCTGCTTGAATGATCACAGACCAGCTAATGTATTAGATTGCAGGCAGATGTGGAGAAGTGTTGCAGAAATTTGACGAATCGGAAGACCTGTCAGTTGACTAAATAATGCATGCTGTTTTCTTCAACAGGGTGAAATACACTTTTTGAATATTCTTTTTTGCACCATCCATCCAGCATTAAAGATACAACATGAATTTGGTACGATGCACAAGAAAATACAACATTTTTCATGTAAAAATAGTGATTGATGCAAAGTAAATTATAAAGAAGTATTTAATGTCTGATGGTTTTAATCTGGTCAAAGCCCCTTGTGCAATATTAAGCATTAACAGTACATAAAGATTTGTCATTTTTCTGTTACCATATTTAGACATGGATCACCTTACTGGTCCATTAATTTAACCGCCTTTTTTCACATTTTTTTATAATCCTGCTCTGAAGTTTTTTTGACACTTTGATCCCAGTCGCTCCTCCTAATGTGTCATAGTTGGTGTGACCTTATCTGGGATTAAAGACAGTGTCGTATTTCAAGCACTGTGTTTCAGTGTGGTGGTGCACTCAGGTGTAAACTCTAAAGTTTTGGGAGAGATCAAACGGACGCCAGGCGCTCACGCTGCTTTTGTCACAGTTTGGATATTGTGTGTATCACTGGGTGTTTAAGAGTGATGGTTTGTCCTTCAAGAGGAGTGAATCGAGTATTGAACTTTGGTGTTTTAGGAGTGAGCCCCAGCTTTCCATCAGTATTTATGACTTTGGTTAGGTGGCTGTTAACATGAGTGAGTCTTAATCTGAAGTACCTGGATGCATTATTAGTTTTGTTTTTGTGAGGCTTCAGTCTGAAGCTGAAATTTTGACTCCTTCCAATATTCCCAAAAGCTCCAGTGAGGAGTTTTTAAGTGGGTGTGAAACCAACTGAAATCAACAGTGATACCTCTTTATTACAAGTGCAAGCAAGACTACCGTAACTGCAAGATCAAGACCGTCAGTGAAAAGACACTGTTTGTTGTAAATTTTAATGGCTGAAACTGCTGTGATGGACAAAAACCACAGTGAGTAATTTCATCAAAAAAAAGCAGGATGAGATTTTTGTGAGGAAAAGTGGTGAACGCTTGTACAAGACAGTATAGGCTAAGAGACAGTCATGCGTTATTTAGTGGTGGTGCCAAAAATTGACACAAACAGGAGCTTTAATCCTCAAATGGATAAGAAAGAATGTCAACCTCCTGTGTTTTCTGCTTAAATCTCAACTAGAAACTTAGAAAAACAGACAGCTAGGGATCTAACCAAGTTGAGTGCATTTGTGTTAGACTGTTCCGTCTTTATTAAACCTGAATTTCAGGATTGATACAAAATCTTTATTTTTTACCACAGTAGTTTGTTTTTGTTTGATTTTGATGTCCTGAAAATCACAAAAAAATTTGGGGATTAACCTGTTTGAGTTAAGAAAAAAAAAACGTATAACAAGTGTTAAAGCTGAAAATGTCCTCTCAGATTGTCATCACTCCCTGTGCCATTTGGCGTTTCTCCAGTGTACATCCTCTTTGAAAAGGAAAGTGCAGTCTGAGTTGCTGAAACCAGATAGAGGTTTATTAATGTAAAAGCAAACCATTTTTTGTTGTTTTTTTTTTATCTCTGTGCCATGTACATACTCAGTAACCCTTCAGTCATTGGTTATTGGGACCCTTAAACACCTGTAGACTTTCCATCCAAGAAAGAGACAAAAGCAATCTTCTATCCAGACACTTTTCAGATCCGTTACTTTCCGTAAGTCAGCATTACGACACCTGTGCATTCTTGTTTATACTGTATTGATGTAGAAGGTGCTAGACCTGTGATTCTATTTATAGGACTTGGTTGCCCAGAGTTATTATTGTGTACATACTGTACCTATGTATCCATTTTGGTCGCTGACAGATTTTATTGTGTATATACCTGTAAATACAAAACCTGAGGACTGGTGTTCATACTAACAACAACTATGTTGTGTTACTTTCCACACACTGCAGGGTCCCTGCTGTGCGGTCTTTGCTGTAATTAATTATTTTAAAATGTGTCAAAGGTGTTACTGTTCCTCCTGAATGTTTTGCTTTGCCTTTCACTCTCCTTTTGTTCAAGAAACATTCATTGTCTTTTATTGCCTGTAATAATTGTGCTTCATGCTTTTTTAAGATATTGTGTAACTCGACTTTTTTTATTAAAGCAGAGTGAGATTAATCTGATCCAGGGGGCCTGATCATTTTTGATTGAATGAGTTCTCGTTATGATAGGTTAAGTCACATCACAAGAAAAACAAAATCTAAAACAAATGAGAGCCTTGAGGTACCTAGCTATTTAAGTAAGTCCATTTTGATGTAAAAAAATTTGAATAGAACCTGGAACAACTGAAAACTCAGGGAGTAAAATAAGCAAAATGATATAAAACCCAACACCATAATTCCAACCAGAAAAATTGTGATGACAACAGCTGAAACCCCAAACAACAATGGAAACCATTTTCTTAAAAAAAACTGCATCACTGAGGCCTCAAGACCAAAGATGTGAAAATACAAGGAGGTACATTTGAGAGAATAAAATAAAATGAGATTTAAAGGTTAAAGATTAAAAAAAAAAAAGAGTTTCTAACTGTGTTTCTTCCTGCAGGCTGCTCTCACACTCTGTCCTGTTTCTGCTCGACTCACTGTCCTCTCTCAATAGAGGCTAAAGAAGACAAAAAATTTGGGTGCTCATATTTGATGACTGAAAACCGGGACAAAAAAAACAAGACTTAGCCCTGCAATGAGATGATCTATATCTTTGTTTTTCTTCTTCATCCTAGTGGCCCATTGAAAAACAATAAAACGAGGACATTTTCATCACTTTATAAAAAACAACCGGGACAGGATGTAAAAACAGGACATGTCCCTTTTTTGTCACCCTACAAAAATAACTCTTTAAAAAGAACCAAGAGCAGTGATAGGAAATAGGAAATAGGAAAGGACCCACAAACGAGATTCAGACAGGAGTAGGGGGTGATAGTTTTTTTCCAAAAAACAGAGATGCTCGATAAAGGTTGAACAACTGAGACTGTCTCAGGAGGAGAAGGGTTGTGTGGAGGTACTGAGGGTAGCGTGGAGACAAAGACACACAGGAGAGCTAAGCAGGCTGCTCTTGAAAATACTTGAGCAATCATTCACAAGCACACAACAGAGAACCTGAATACCAGTGTTAGGTTTGCAAAAACTGGCAGCTTGCAGGAGTCGGAGCTGGAGCTGAAGAGCAGCTGCTGATTGTCATTGATGAGGGACAGCTGCTTCTCATCAGAGTGAGAGCCTCCTAACCACACCTCCTCCAACCACTGCTGCACTGACAATAAAAAAGACAAAAACCTCCCAACACAAACAGGGAAGCACTAAAAAATAATCAAGAAAGAATAAAGCGTCCGAACTGTGACAAAAAAAATGAGAATATAAGAGAAATAAGGTTCATAGAAGCAAAAAAGGAAAGAAATAAGATGAGATAAGATGTAAGAAGAGGACAACATCACATGAAAGCAAGTCTATTTTTGTGTATCACTTAAAAAATAAGAAAAATATCAGTCTTAATGAAATCAACATTGTTCACAATCCTAGCTCTCGTATTTCTTTTTAAATAATCTTTTTCCACAACAAGTATTCCCTACATTTAGCACCTGATATAGATCTAAATTTCTTTACTCATGTCAAAAGCCTGAATGTAAACATCTGGTGGTATAAGGATGTTATTGTAGAGGTGTCGGGCTGTTTTCCAATGACTATATTTCATCCACAAGTTTGTTTAACATCATTTAGGTATCTGGAAACCTACATTTCTGATTTCTTGTTATTAGACATCCAAAACAATAAACTCAATGTTAACACTTTTCTAGACAGAAGATCTGTAATCTGGAGAAAAAAATAAATGTATAAGTCAAGGTTCTTAAAGATGGTTTTAAAGTTCTTATATTGATTTTCTCTCATTGCTTTGACTAAGTTGGTAGCCTTAATCCCACAACTTTGACATGCTTTGAAAGTAAATAAAAAAAGATTAGAAATAACTGGTGAAGCAGCTGGAATGACTTTTTACTTTGCCTGTCAAATGTGAGCTGGATTGACATGTTTTTGCCGAGGAAGAGAGCTCATGATGACAAAGACAGCAGCAGCAGGCCCTCACACCTTTGCACACATCGGGGTGTGATACGAGAAGTCTTAGGAGGTGTTACTTCAGTGGTGTTTTCACAACAGTCCTATGCTGGTGGTTTTGAACCCAGCATGAAGTGGATACTGACTTGAGTAGTTTTAAACAAGTTTTAGCCGTGCTCAAACCTGAAGTTTTTTCTCTGGTCTGCCATCCCCGAAGCTTTTAACACTGCTTGGATAAGAGAGGATTTAATGGAGAAGAGGAAAAGCAGAGGAGAAACATGTTAAGACACATGGTATTAGCCTCTATAGGGGTCATAGTTGACTGACTAGCCTCCATGTCACTCACCAATTAGATGCTATTTAATGGGTATATGTAACAGGTAGCTCTTGTTTCTGTATGAATTACTGCAGTTGTATAGAGGCTGTAATAAGAGCAAGTGGTGATAAAGATTTGGGTGTAAAGTAAGTGAAGAGACTTTAGCAACTAACAGCCATTAACACCTCTGTGTTTAACAGTGTCAGTTAACACTGAAAAGAGATGGATACAACAAGGATGTGTGTACTGAATGTGTACAGAGGGTAACGACACCGCTCGCTTCTCAAGTTATACCAACTTTAGTAACACCAGCAGATGGTAATACACAGCGGTCTCAGGAGCCACGCGCTCAACCAAAACACCACTCTATAGACACAAATAATGCTCAGAACAGCACCTAACTTCATCAATAGTACATATAGGGTCCCAGCCATAGTACCAGGCACAGAATATCTTTTTAACTTTGCCTGATTTCTTTAGCAAAGAGGAATTTTTATCTGCTGCTGCTGTTGTCCTGTTCAGTACAACAGATGAGCCAACCTCTGCAGAAAACTGTCGAAATGTTTACTTCAGATTACATATCTTAGGGAAAATAGATTTAAATCTGATAGAAGGAGTTTAAGCACTTTTACATGAGACCACAGGCCTACTTTACGGGCCTAAACAGGGTAAGCAGCTGCAGTATAGTAGTTTGCATCTCCTCGCGATGTGGGAATACTGTAGAAGTTTGGGATCTACTCTTTCAACAGAAAGCCGGTCCAAGACCTTTGGACGAGGGTGACTGAGCGGATCTAACAGTCTGTTCGAGAGAACTGATGAAATTCCTCTAGAGACTCCAGGTACTGACTTCCAGACTCCAGGCCACATGAAGTAAGCTCTGCAAAACATCAAAGTTGACACTGATGGGCTCTACATCTCCCACTTTACAACCTGACAACACCAAGCTGTCAAATTGACAATCCCAGGGTCTTCTCGCGGCGATTCAGACAGAACAAGGAACTCACTTGGATCCATCAAACTGGTTTTCATGACGGCACAGCATTTGTAGAATTATCACCTTTTTATCCTGTGTCACTCAGCATGAGATGACAATGAGCATCACATTGTTTTGGATTTAGCCCTGATGCAGAACCCTTTCAAAGGTTTCAAAAGGTCTAGAGTCTTCACACTATGCCTTTAGACTTAAAAGAAATAAACTGGAATGTTTTCAAGTTGAATCTGCAGATAATAAAGTCACTTTATTAAAAATAAACACATCTAGGTAATGAAATTAAATCCAATACGGGTTCCGTCAATCGACACTTATACTTTGCAGATAGAAAGATCTGGGATTCAGCATGTTAGCTTTGTTACTTATGTGTCATTGCAGCAGTTGGTCAACATCACTTTTTGTAACTGAACATGTCAGCACACAGTTCTCTGGACATCTACTGCCTGGGATACTCCTCCCACTGATGAGTGTTATTGGGAAAATGGAGTGGAACTTGATGATGTCTGCTACTGAGTCGAACATCTGTGGGGGAAAAACATGTAAAAAGATCTGTTGAAGTGAATGTAAATTGTGTGAATTTTTAAGGTGGTGAAGGCAGACAATGCACTGAAATATAATCAAGGAGTGATTGTTCTAAAATAAAAGTTTCACCAAGCAGAGCCAGTCTCTGTCTCTCAGTATACGCTTTCGATTTAAACTTGAACTTAAAGTTTACTTTTCCACTGTGAAAGTCACACCACTGGTTTTAAAGTCAACTTCAAAACTTACTTTAACTAAGTAAATTTACTTCACTTCTGTGCATTTTAAGTAACTCTACTTTACTTGAGTGTCATTTTTTGGGGAAACTTACTCCAAAACTTTTGATACTTTTTACAAATTTCCTGCTTTTGGATCCACTTAAACATTCTAGCTGGTTGCTCTTCCTCTGAAGTAAACATATTTGTTTTCTTCTGTTGTCTAAAGTGCGGTTTGCTGAGGCTGTTATCAGTAACAGACAGTGGTAGTGAGTGGAGAGACGTTGTCCATCCCTCGGTAGCTGACCTGGCAGTTTTACAGTTTTCCCCACAGTTGTAGACACACTTGCTCTGCCTGTAATGATGTGTTTATCTAAACAGAGAGAGTTACAGACTTTAAATACTGAGCCTCTACGTGTTGTAATGTCTCTCTCTGCTCCTCATTGACACATATACAAAGATTTTCTGAGACAGGCAGAAGGGACTCCTGTTTATAACTTGCAAGTATGTCCAAACTATTTACCTTAGAAACACCAAAATCATATTAAAGCATTCAGGACTCCTTACAATGACCACAGCGTTTATCGTCGTGGCAACCTGTGAGCCTAAGGCCAGGCCCACAGCTGAGACCAATTCACTAATCAGGGACTGCTCTGACATCACTGCATCACTGAATCTCTTTCAGAACAATTCGATTAACGATAAAATCTGACACTCAATCAGAATCCTAATTAGTGGCAAACACATAAATGCACTGGCTCCAATATAACAGAGATGCTATGAACTTTACAGCAAAGAGTGTAAACATAACTGTCTTGATAATATAGCATGCCAAAAAAAGGGGTCTCCTATGGTCAACTTACCCCGTGTATGGAGTAAGTTGAGCCGTATCCCTACAACCCCCCCACTCTCCACCCCAGCCCTCCCTCACCTTCTTTCTCCCTAAATAACAGTCACTTCTTCACATTCATGTGTGTTCTTATCTATTACATGCAATTCAACTGGTACAATAATTCTTTTTATTATTATTATTGCATATAAGTGCTAAAAAGCTGTTTAGTAAAAATCCATTTTAACATGAGAATGCCTTTAGGTGATTCAGAACATTCACAGCTGTATTTTTGAAAAGAAAAAGTAAAACATTTCAACAATCTGAACTGAAACTCTGATCCTCTCATCAGACTTCTTTACTTTCTCAGTTGAGCCACTGACTCAACTTACCCCAGAACGACTATTATGACTTTATTATTCCTCTAAACTAAAATGGTGGACTTTTATGCTAGGTTTTTGACCTCATGTTGTAGCTCATAGATACCACAATTGATGTATAAAACAAATTTAAAATGATCTGTTTTGGTCTGAACACAATTCTAGTAAAACTTATGACTTATGTTTTTTTTGGAAATAAATGTCCAACCCCTTCACCCATGCGCTTCTAACCTTCACAGACTCCATGAATTGATGCCCATCTCCTAAATATTTGGTCACATAATCATCTCCAAGCAACAGGGGGTGGCTCAACTTACCCCACTCTCCCCTATACGAATTTTCTCATGACATAAGACGTTAGAGAAAAAAGAGCAATTATTGTAGTTAAAGGAATGTTTGTTGTAGGTGTGCTCCCTGTGTATAATATCACAGTAGTTTTAATGATCAGAAATCTCTGAAGAATCTCATCTTAATGTAAACTCCTCTGCAGTAGTCACCTGTGCCCCATTCATAACTTCCCAGAGGGAATTTTCTAGTTTTCTCTTTGTGTAAGCCTACTCACATCATTTTGTCGCTGTCCTGTTCCCAGGACATACTTGCTGCTGTTCTCCATGTATCGAATTTTCACATTGTAAACCTTTTTCCCGTAATACACAGCCAGAACCAGGGGCTGACTATCAGTGTTGATGGAGCAGTCTCGGACCAGGAAAGCCCCATCCTACGAGAGTGAATGTGACAAAAAGGAGACAGTTTTAGCTTCAGAAATGTTACGACTAATTTTGAGTCATGTGTTCTCAGGAGAAAAGTCACTTTACCTTGTTCACCAGGTGTAAGGCGTGCTCAGCGTCTGCTCGATTACAAGGCCCGATGTACCAGTCTTCTTGACAATAAGTCTGTTAAATATCACAGAGTCCAGTGAATAAAAAAACTTTAGACTATTTGATGCTTTTTAAAGAGGCTGCAAATTTACCTGCTGAGGTTTTTCCATTGGAACAAAGTCATGTTGGTCAAAGTCTTCTTTAGTTTGAGGCCACTCATGGTGATGACGTTTTGATGACACCCTTTCTTTAAGCAGGAGTGGATGATTACTTTATGAATCAATAGTTGTAAGACTGGTGCTTATTTTCTTTTAACATTACTCACCCAGATTTTGTTGTGACCTTAAAGAAGAAAATGCACAATATAATCAAACTTGACATTTCCAAACTCAACGGTGGTAAAAATCTGTTTAAGAAATGAAAGGTGAACCTTTTCTCTATGTCATGAGTTTCCAGATCCAAAGAGTGTCTTTGATTGGTGTGTGGGGTAGAAGCATGGTCAGCTCTCTCTGGATCTAGAAAGCATTAAATATTACTACATTTTGACTTTAAATTTGAACCTGAAATCATTATTTAACTCTTACCTCTGGACTGCTGACTGAATCCTCCCTGTTCAAAGATTTTAAAAGAAAACAAATAAAATAATTCAAGGAAGCAAATTATGAAGCGATTTTTTTAAGAAATTTTTTTTACTGTGCAGCAAGGACACATTATGTAAAAACATGATGTGAAAAATAAGATAAGATAAGCTGTTGGGTGTTTCCTTACTCACTTGTCTTGTTGCTCTCTGACCTCTGAAATTACAAAAGACAGTTTGTTTACAGTCGACAGTTTTTAAGCACATCAACCAACTTAAAGCTCCAGTAGGGAAGTTTATGAAATATACTGAAATTCATATTGATGCTGTTTTATGATATCCATTTGCATTTTTAATTCCCAAAACTTGTCCGAGGGGGTAGGTGTCAGCTGAGCAGCTGCAGAAACAGCCCTGCTTTACAATTACTGCATAAAATATACACATTAAATGATACGTTTGACTGTCACAAGTTGGCAGGATGAGATTTTTTCAAGGGGCTCGACTTCAGCAAGTAGAGGACAAGATTAGCTGAGACTGCTTTGTCCACAGGGGGCGCCAAAGTTGACCGAAAACAAAAGTTCCTCACAGGAGCTTTAAATTTTGAGAAAATCTCACTACACCACACTATTTCAATTTCAGGAAAAAGTTGTACCTCAAATTGATTCATAATGACAACCAATAACGGTGATCTCTATAATTACCAAAATGATTTTAATTATCATTTTTGCAGTAATTGTTTAGCTTCATTTATTCATATAACATCAATCCAACAAAACAAATGTCATCTCAAACAAAAGCCAAGGTGAGGACATGGACTTTTTAAAATTATGTGACTTTATCAGTGTGTTTGTTTATTACATCTGGTCTGTTTTTTTAATGTTGTATTTCATTAGAATGCCTTAGTACATGTAACTAATAATATACACTTATAAATCTGACACTTTGCTGTAAATACTTTAATTTTTTCAGACTGGTGTTTTGAGGTGTAACACTGCAGGTTGGCTTAAACAGGGGTCCACTGTAAAGATGCTGAAGTCTCTGCTGCAGCAGATGTTGGTCTTTCTTCCCCTGCCCTCTACTCTAAACATTTTCTTTCAGTTCTTACACAGACAAAATGCCACTTCCCACCTCGCCAAAAAAAAGAAGTATTTTCTGCATTTATTCTTCTAACCAGCAGATGGTACCATTGCTACACTGCACAAACCGTCAACAAAGTGGAGTCACTTTGGTTTTCCACCATCCACAGAGAGAGGAAAAAGGTCACATCAGGCTGAGCTGAAGCACTGCAGACTACAACAACAGGGGCAGAGGCTCACTGGTACAAGAGCTGATCCTTCTACTTGCTTCATGTTGTGCTGCAAATTAACCCATGTGGGAGGGTAGAGGAGTGCTCACCCTTTTCTGCAGGGTTCATGGAGCGCCAGAGCAGACAGGCGGCTCACTAACTCAGAGGCAAACGGTTGAGCTGATGGAGGGCATCTGGAAACACACAAACAGCATTAAATTCCCTCTTAAATCAAACACATTATTATACAATATAACAGATTTGATAGAATAAATAACATAGAAGTAAAACAACTTACCTTTGTGAGTGCTGGGACATCAGAATGAGAGAAAATTGATTCATTATTATGCACAAAAATGTGTTTTGCAATCGCACTGGTGCAGAATAAGTTCAGGTGTTTACCTGCTCTCCTAGTGGAGGTGGAGGCCTCCTAGCTGTAGAAACAACATGTAAACATTTGTTAAGTAAGTGCTTTTCTGGGGCCGAGGAGGTGAATCTGTAGTCACATCTTCTTTCAGATTTGCTTTACCTAATCGGGTTGTTTTCTTTCTGCCAGGCTTCAGGTCTCTATTTATAGCAGGGCCTATGTGTGTGAAAAAAAAAACAATGTTTAGAGAGCATATTCACAAAACACTCAAGAGTGGGAAGTTTGAGCAGGTAAAGTCAAGTCAAGTCTTTGTGAAAATGGCTCGACGAGTAAAAACCTTATTTGAGTACCAGCACTCTCTTTTAGATATATCAACAAATAAGCAAATTACAGTAGCTTCTTTCAACGCAAACAAGCATCGCTGCAAAAAAAACAAAAACAGCTCATTAACTTACACTGGTGCTAACAGCCCTGCACAGTTAGAGTCCAACTTTTATTGTCTTCTAAGAGTTGGTGGTAATAGGGCTTGGAGTGTTAATAAGTACTGCCATGCTCAAAGTTTTGAGTTATCAGGCCAACAATCACGCCTCTAAATAAACCTAAAGATAGTACATGTGTACAGTGAGTGTGTTGGATTCAACTCATGAACTCGCATTTACAATGACCCAGCTGATTTCTCCAAGTTCTGGAAGCAAATCTGAATACTCCAGTTATATATTTATGCATCACGAAAGAGTGGACTGTAAGCATTTTTAAGAGGTCTGTGCTCCCTTAGTGCCCCTTTATTTTGCTATGTAATCACTACTTTGAGTAACACTTTTCCATTTTTTTAGCCTTTTACTTTCAGATCTTGAATAATGCAGCTTGAGTCACTCTGTCTGCGTAGCTTTTGCTGAGCAGCAGTTTAGGACCAAGTACAGAAAAGCCATAAAGTCAGTGAACTGAGACTGTAATGTCTTTCATACAGCAATATCTATCAACATTTTGCAAACGTTAGCTAATGTATGACACCTTAAAATACTGCTGTGAGGCCAAGTAAGTCTAAAACAGAGTGTAATGAATTTAGGAAGCTCGTGTTAAACTTTATCTTAAAAATAAAATAGTTATTCTGCTTTTAAAAGAAATCATATTTGTGCTCCTACTCTCTGAGGATGTATCTGATACCGCACTCTAAATCTGGTTGCTGGGAGCTTTGTCACTTTACCTGCAGTGGGATTAAGTTGGATCTCTCTGGGGTAGGTATTAGAGTTTCCCTGATGAGGAGGAGAGCAGAATAAATAAAGCATATCAAAGTATGAAGAACAGAAACTTGGCTCGAATACGACATTCAGCAAAGAAAACTGAAACCTTACAGCAGCGAGTGAAGACAAGCTATGAGCTGATGAAGATCTTGGGAGATTCCTGTCTTGAAAGCAAAAGAAGCGAGACAGTAATGATGGTAGTTTCAGTCGTCCCAGTTATATTTGACAGTCTAAATACTCTTTATCATTGCTGTAAGTTGGTCGTTGGCGGTCCCAGCGGTGCGCTGCAGCAGCAGACTGTATTGATTACAGAGGGAGAACACTGAGAGTGTGAACAAATTTAAAAGCCACATTCAGTATAAAGTTGTCGACTTGCAGCTGTGCGGGGCCTGGCTGTGGGCCACGTCCAGGCTGGAGAGTAAAGGGAGTCTATTCACACTACATGCCTCCCTCTCTCTCTTCCCCCTCGGCTTCTGGATAATTGTAATCTCCCGCAGTCCGACTCAGCCAACAGATGGCCCTGGAGACCCACTGGCAGATCATGCTCACTCAGCATGAGCTCTCTGTCTCAGATCCACGCTGCTTTCATTCTCTCCACAGTCTGCAGAGGAGCTGGTGTTCTCTGCCCGCTCCTCATTCGGCTTCAGTCTAATTATGTTTGTCACAGATATTCTCTGAAGCAAAGTGAAACAGTCTAATTGTGTTAACTGTAAAAATACTTCTTTATGCTGAAGTTCGGACAAGTATGAGACTATGAGTTTCTTAAGTTTGTGAATTTAGGTCAGTTTAGTTCCTTTAAGTAAAGTTATATGTGCTATATTTTATACAGTTGAGCCTGTAGTAGTTTTTATCTGGTTTTGAAACAGACTGAAATTAATACTGATGATTTTTATGACCTATAAAAGTTAACAACATCATCTCAAGAATCAACCAGTCAGTCAGTAAAAATCAAAACAAATCATTGGCCTAAATCATAACAGAAGGTATTTCAGACAGTGGCAGGGAAAAAATCAGCATGTATATATTTTTTATTTTTATTCTAAAATCTGAAATCTCTGCATGCAGGGATGATGTTTAGTCAGTGGGTGGTTTTGCAGGTTATACTCCTGACAGGGTGAGCAAGACTCTGATTGCAGGACCTCCTTATCTGAGATGGTTGTTGCCATCACAATGTCATCCCGTTGTTAGCTGTTGTTTACAATTATCAGCTGTCGTTAGCCGTTGTTCGTTGTTGTAAGCAATACCAGTTGTAAACAACGCATAACGCATGCGTTTACTGTTACAAACAACATAGCAGCGTGTTCACAGTGAGGCGTTGGGCAGTACAACATACACCACTTGTTTAATTTCACAAAAACAAAACAAAAGCGCAGATAAATAACACATTACGAGAGCTTTTACTGTTAATGCCCTGCAATGCCATCTTGAATTATGACTCTGTTGTCATAATTGGCGAGGATCGTCCGACTTTCTGAGTCAGAAATCCGACTTCATGGGGGCGTTCCAGACGAATTTCCAACTCTGAGCTCGGAAATCCCGACTTCCCAGTACAACTGGAACGCAGCATTAATGCTACCTTAATGGATGCTGGCATAGTTTAGACATGGACAAAAATTAACCGTCTGAATGAGCCATGGGACTAATGCCACATGTGATTTTTTGTATGTATTTTGATTTCTGTTTGATCCATGTTCTATCTGATAACATGGAAATAGCACTTATACTGTAGCTCGCCAGTAGGGGGAGCCCTAAATCTTTTGGCTTTACTATCTGTGAGCCCTGCGGCGTCCATTTTAACAGTCCATGGTTGGTGTCACATTGGGCTGCTTAAATATCGTTGCTAGCTTACTATGGTCGATTTGATATGATGTGTGTTATTAGGTTGTCCCTAGCATTACTTATGCTGTTGTAAATTAAATACCATTGTTGGCCAATCAGAATAAGGTATTAAGCACAGCTTGGTCACGCTGCTAATAGGTATGGGTTGGTGATTAACTAACAGCACAGTCCTAGGACAGCAAAGTTAAACAGAGAATATTGAGCTTCAAAGTTAGACAGTATACATACAGAGCATAGGATATATTGCTTTAGCCATCGGGGCGCCAAATAGACTCAAAAATTAAGGTTCCTAATCTAGCTTTAAAGGAAGAATATTAAAGATTTAGGGGCATTGAGTAGCTGTAGCTTGCAACCGATTAACACTTCCTCAACCCTTCTTTTGTAGTTAGGATCCAAATTTTAACAATGTTAAAGAGATGCCATCTGGTTTGTTTTGTTTTTGTCGATTTAAACTCATGATAGAGTACTCTTGCAGACTGTAATGTATTTCTACAGATATGTCTCCCTTTCAGACTGCCCCTTTAAGGCAGACGGGAACCACAAAAATAAGGCGCATGTTACCAAACATCAAAGGTCGGGTTCACTCCTACAGATGAGCAAGATTACTCAGACTGAGAGGAAACACACCACGCAACCAAAGAACTAGTCCGTGGTTCAGTGTTGTTGTTTGCCTGGCTTTGCTGTGAATAAGGTTAAAGTGTGTGTGTGTGTGTGTGTGTGTGTGTGCGTGTGTGTGCAGTCAAAAGAAATGCACACCAATTAAAAAGCACCAGGAAAGGAAAACATTTAAGCATCATCTGGAAAAAGCCAATTATATCAGAAAATAGATAAACTTTTACTGGAAATATGTGAGACCCAGTCAAACCAGTCCCAGCCTGAAAAATGCACTCTTTTAATTTTATTATTGATTTTTTTTACTATAGTTTAAAATTATAGAAACTAAGAGGTGTGTAAATGTGATTGTTTTCTCTACCTGCATACTCTCTCTCTTCGTGTATGGGACGTGCAGGGAAAATTCGCACATTCAGCACCTCCTCCTGGTCATCCACCACGTCGTACTCGGGCTCAAACACGTTGTTGTAACCACCACATCTCTGGTTTATTTTTCTGTTTCTTGGACTGCCATCCTGCACAGAGACAACTGCAGTTTAACTTCATTGGGAAAACTACATGGTTGTGCTCAGACTTGATCTCACTGTTAAAATCACTGCACCACACGAGAACAATTTAAACAAATCCAGTCGAAGTGGCCTTTTGCATCATGACACCAATGAGCACAGGAAGCTGCGTGAGGTGTTGCGACACAATTGCTTGTCTTCAAGGGATTTCCTCTTAAAGCTTCAATTCTGAGTAAAGTCACACCTACACTAACAGACGTACCCTGAAAGAGAGTCATGTACAAATAGAAGTGTCAGTCAGTAATGCAGAGTTTAAATTTCTAAAAATAAAATTTCTCTCTTTCGGTCAGCTGACTGTTAATGCTTTTTATTCTGATGTGTTTTCTGAAAGGACTCCAGGAGAAACAGTCATTACAGCAGCAATAACTAATGAGGATCCTTGAGACATAAATAAGAAAAGGACACGTTAATAAATTATGAGGGTACTACCTGAGTTTGTTGGCGGACGTTCTGCTTAATATTTAAAAATTTTAGGGTCAAGGTGGTAAAGTTTTTTCTAGTCTCCTTTTCCTGCACACTAAGTAGATTCCAGTGCCCTAAGAATAACTCGCCACCCAGGGCAAAATTGTTTGAAATTCAACAATTTAATAAAAACACGATTATGCTCTTGTCTTACTCACTCAATTTAAGGACGTCTCTATCTTTTAAACAAGCACTCTTCAGTCTCTGATGAGTATAGTGATCAGATCAAGCAGAAGGGAAGGCTGTCATCGAGCTACAAGCTGTTTTGTTTTACACCCAGCACAGACTCTACCTCATTAGCACAGCTGCACTTTCAATTCTTATTCCTGAGCGCCATGTGAACTTCATCCTTGAGCCTTGGGCGAGAAAATACTGACAAAGAAAGTGCTTCTTCTTTTTTTTCCCTGTAGCTCTGTGCATTTCAAGAAAGCATCAGGAGAAAACAACACATCGAGATGAGCTCAGTAACATTATATGAAGCTAATAGCAGGGTTGCTTTGTCAGTGTCAGGGCTGAGTGTGCGTCTACAGGAAATGTGCACATATGTACTTTCATGATGAGGTGTCGTAAATAGTAGATTTTGATTTCATTTTTAACAGATTTTACACTTAAAATTGATGTTAAATTTCCTGAACATAAGCTGAGGAACCATAACTAAGTTTTAATCAATCACTTATTAGTAAATTTAGTAAAATCCGTTCATAACCTCCCTAAAAGACTTATAAGATACCTATAAATGTTAATCAGTGTAATTAAAAGCATAATTAGCATATTTATCATTGCATGTGGGGCATTTATGAGACATTGCTGCTTAGGAGAATTTATCAACCTTAATGAGACACTATTTACATTTAATTTTCACTCAGAATTTGTTTTTCTTATTTGACATAGTTAAGTGTAGCTTTGGCAATATCCAGAGACACAACTGATTTGGCTCAAACAATGACAAATAATAAAAAAACTAACTTTAAATAAAAGCCATCCATCTTAGAAACACTTTATAAAAGTAAAAAAAAGGTTTCTACAAAAAGAGAGAGCTGTTTAAAGGTTGTTAAAATTCAATGATTTTTTTTTATACATAAGAATAGCACTGAGGGTTTGTTTGTTTGTTTGTACACTGACTTAACTCCTTATGAATTTTCATCATTAGATATAGTTGTGGGAGTCATAATGTGATATTAACCCAGAGTTTAAAAGATACTGTTGTTGGTTTTACATGAAGGTAGAATGCATCATAAATTATAGCATAACAAGGCATTTTGTTCACTGCTGAATATCCTTTGTTCATGTTGCCTTGGGTTGTTATGAATGCTTACAATCACTTAGCATGTTTGTCTTAAAGCCTTATAATTGCATTAATTATGCCTATAAATGTACTTCTACTGCATGATAAGAGGTGAGTTTATATAGTGTAACCATTGATTGATAGTTTGGCAATGAATCAGTTAGTACAACAAATTTACATTGAGCTCCTATGATGAGTTTTTATTGACCAAAAATTAATACTAAAACCTTTTTATGACTCACAAATGCAAGTCAGTCGAGAAGCATGAAGCGCCATAATTTCTTTACCATTTTTGTTCAAGTCTGAGGCAGTTGCCTCCGGGTAGCTGCCACTCAAACTAGTAAAAGGTCAATACCAAAATAATCTATTCTTTCAACATTTCTGCAGCAAAGATTGACAGTGAGTTAGTGTTGGTGTTTGACTGTTAAAAGTGAGCAGACTGAGTTTTCTCCTTAGAATAAAAAAAACTAACAAAATCAACAGAGACAAAGAGACAGCCCTGCCACAGGTGGCACCAAATGTCAACACAAACCTAATGTTCCCCAAAGGAGCTTTCAAATTACCAGTCTGCATATTTCTCGGCGAAACCTCAAGAGTGAAATGTATGCGCCCAAAATAAAGTCGAAATTAAAGTAGAAATACAGCTCTGTGTTCTTCTAGCTCTGCACTAACAATGACAGAGCAGAATAACTCTCTTTCCTCCCCTCTGCACTAAAAGGTAATTACACAGGGGGCTGCAGCCTCCCAAAGTTTCCCCTGGGAACATTCATGTGGAACCATCGGGGAAAAGCAGCAAGTACGAGCGCCATAACTCACCATTATCACAGCAGACTCATGGCGGTTTCCTCTCTCTGCAGCTAACGAGGGAGTGAAACAGAAATGAAAAACATCATTAGTTTGGAGTTCTGCTGAAGAATGTGGCCTTCCAACGGTATTTTGTCCTTGGACTTTTTCCTCTCTCTGAAGAAGAGGAAAGTCTTTATAAGCTGCTGAACAGAGGCGCTTGTAGCCTTGGGCTGTTCTCACCGGGCTCCTTGTTTGTTGATATCAGTTTATGTTTTATCTTTTAATTGAAAGACAAAAAATATTTGTTTGGTTACAGACAGATTTGTCATTATTTTTGACAGTTTCACCTTGGTTATGAAACAGATTGTTTAAGTTTGCTTTAACATAAAAACATACAAGCTAAAAGAAATGACATGTATGTTTAAGTGTCAAAACTAATTTGACTTCTTCCAAACTTTATTTCACATATTTGGGTCAGATGTATGTTAATCAATGAATACAAGAGGCTTGAAGTGAAAAAACAGACAAAACAATCTGTTGTCCTGGACAGATGGTGAAGAATTCAACTGAAAACGTGCGTTAAACTTTAATTTTATGGAATTTTTCAGTTTTTGTTTCATGGGGAACTTTGCCAAAAATATCCTTTTTCTGTCACACATTTTCAGGTGTTCATACGTAGGATTTCAGTCCGGCTTTTGGCTTTCAATCTGGATGTTGAAGTTGAACTAGTATTTGCTGCAACAAGGACATTACCCTCAGCTGCTGCAACTGTTCAGCTAAACTGGCGCCCCACTTATGTTACCTTTGCATCACATTTTTGAGATTTCTTATTTCCTTTGCCCTTCACTTCTTGAAGATGTCAGAAGGTAGCAGATGTCAGAAAAATATAAATAGTTTGGCGAGAACAGAGTCAAAAAGCAGATTTAGGTGCACCTAAAGGTATAGCAGGGTGTCATCAGCATAGTGTCGGAGAACGATGCATGTTATTACATTTACGCACCACAAATTCAATCAAAAACAATACCATCATTATAATATAGGGGGTAAATAAAGGGCACAAATAGAAGCTTACATTGTACCTTGGTAATTGTCTGAAATTTTACATTTCATTTAATCTCTGAGAAGCAGGGAAATTTCATCACTTACAAAAATATCTCGGTTATCAGTCAAGTGATGTACTGCTGGTGATTTTCTTTTCTTTTACTTTTTGTAAATCTATCCTAACTTTTTCAATTATTTATACCTGCAAAACCAAATGACAAAACAAGTAGTTCTCATATTTGGCACTGACATGTCAAACTGTGAAAGCAGCTCCAGTGATTTTGGCAAAGCACAGATATATTTTTCAATTTTTTAACCAGAGGATCAATCATTGTTGTGTGTTATTTTTGGATATTTTGAAGTTAATCAGGAGAGACATTAGTGCAAATTTGATAGTCACATCAGAGATATGTGACATGTGTGTAATGTCTACGCTTTTTGAGACAAATGATTCATTTTCATGCTTTTACAAAATGAGCTGCAGACACAGTGCCAGGGCCAATCATACAGTTTTGACTGACAGGTTTTTATTTTTGAACCCCTCTGGGTGAAAAGAAAAAAAAAAGCAGGAAGCAGGAAGGAAATCTACCCAAAATAGAAGTGAGGACATTGTGAGGGATTGTGAAAGTGCCAGGAGACATTACAGGCTACCAAATCACAGTCCCAAAAGGGAGAATCAGACCCAGTATTGGATTTGGCACTGTGGTCCAGCACTCGGCGGGGCCGTCTGTCTACTTTGCAGAGCTTACTTGGCCCCGGGAAGTGGTGTTGGATGAGACGTATAAAAAGGACGGAGATTAGATTCATGGAGCTCACATCTGAGGTTGAGCGGCTAGTCTGGAAAATAAACTCCTGCCCCATGAAAATTGGGTGCAGAGGATTTGTGGCAACTCAAACCAGCTGCCTACTTAAGGGTTTGTGACCTGACTTTGCTGCGGGCAACAAGAAAGTCAACCACAGAGAGCCACTTCAACACTTCATGTATTCGGATATGTAACAGCAGACAGGACAGTCTTCATTTACTTTCTGTTCATTTGCTGTCCTCAATTATATTCTGTTTGTTGCTTATGTTGACAGCTGCTGCTTTACTGAAATCAAATACATTTTGAATCTTTAACTTCTGCCATGACTTACCCTCATTTTACTGGTTAGTTTTATTGATATAATTACCTTTTCTACTCTAAGACATGCAAAAAAAAACCTTATATGAGATATACAACAGTATTGGACAGTACTTAATGCGCTCTCAGGACTTTTTCGTGCTCTCTGTCTATAAAGCTCGTACAGAAATTAGTAAAAGGGCTTTTAGGGAATCTGCACCCTCAGCAGAGTAACTCGAAACTCAAGAAGCTCGAGCCTGTAAATGTTTTTAGATCTAAAAGGAAAGAATGTGATGAAGACTCTTGTTGGTGTTTTATATTACCTGGTTGCACAACTGACTCTGAGATGGCTTTATTTGTTACTGCTCATTTTTAATGCTTATAGACTCTACTGTGGTTCCCTGAGTGTGTCTTTGTCTGAAACTTTGTGCTTTATCTGCAGTCTTATCCGGGCCTCCTCCAAAAAGAGAATTTTAATCTCAGTGGGACTAACCTGGTTCAATAAAGGTTAAATACATACTTTTTCCACTTTGTTACAGTAAACCCGATAAGTTTTTTTTAAATATAGCTCGAATCTTTTTTGGGAGGTGAAAAAATGATATTTTTGAGAGACAGTTCTGCATAGGGTTATCAACTGGAAGTCCGTTTTGTAATTTTTAAGATGCAATCAGCTTTACAAAAACATTTTTCGCACTAAAAAATTTGACAGCAAATCGTTCACCTACACATACCTGAACATTTCTCACATTTCTAGACATTGAAAAACCTCCCCTTAATATGATAATGGCATGATAATGATTATTTATAGATGTTACTTTCAACTGTGGCCATAAATTGCACAACAGAAAGCAACAACCACCACCTCAATCTTCAAAAGTAAGCAGTGTGTTTGACAAAGAATGACCACCAGTGACTGTACAGTACAGTTAAACACCAGCTTATTATGCTCAAAACTCTTAAATCAACTGGAGACTTTCTCTTGAAATTTGATCAAAGCTCTATTCTCTACTCCAGTTCAAAGCTCGTCTTCTCTACGTATTACCACGCTTGTCATTTTCATCTATTTTTAAACCAGCATGTCTGCTCAAACACGACCACAGCAGTTTTAAACATTCAGGAGGAAATTCAGCTGTTGCTTACCTTTTCACAAGATGTGAATAATAAGCACACCTGCATCAGTGGATGTCCTGCATTTTGTGCCTCTTTGGTTACAGAAATAGAGTGTCTGCAGTTTATCTTCCCCTCACAGTGATGAGCAAAAACACCTGGGCTGCTTCAAGCCTGACTGTCGGCGTTAAACAGCCCACTGCAGTAACCCAAAATGACTTCCTGTGTGGTGAAAAACTGGCCTATAACCTGAGGTCCTCGCTGCTGTTTGTCACAGCGTTGTGCAGCTCTATTTTTAAGGGTTCTCATGTACAATCTGCTCAAGAGACAAACACAAAACTGTGTAAGTGGTTGAGGATTTTTTTTTTATCTCTCAGCAATAATAACTCCTGTAACAACCCACTGTCAACCTTGTTGTTTTCTATTTTGGCAGCATTATAACAACTTCCCTTTTGAGGGTGCCAGGCTATATTCACAGTTATTCTAAGATAAGCTCTTAAACTATATCTAAAAAAAACAACCTCAGACCATCTTGAGAGTAAATCAGAGTCAAATGACTTTGCAGGTGCTACAGTTACATCGCTTAATTTGAACCGGCACACGGTGACATTTCAACATCTGAGAGACGCAGGGTGACATTTTCATCTTCATTAGATCCTCATCTGGTTTCATTTTCATATCAAACACGGTGGTGAACCCAAAATCCAATTTGTGACGGTGTTTTCCCAAGCTTAACCTTTCGGGGTAATATTTAACAGAGGTTTAATATTTTCATTTCATGAAAAGTAAACACTTAGGAAAGATCAGCTTCCAATTTTGCTGTCAATGTCAGAGTTTTCTCAGAAAGATGAGACCGTTTTCATCACATCTTTGGTATCCTGGTCATTTTAAGAGCGCAGGTCTTTATCAAATTCTGTGGAGACACCTGTAACTAAGACAGAGGGACAATACAGGACATCCTCTGTTATCTAAAATTATCTTATTTTTTCTTAAATTCTGTTTTTATTGTAATCTTTAGTCCACACATATAAAAAGCTCTCCTTACATCATACTCACTACCATCTGTTTGTGAGAAACAAAAATCTTTCACAAATAGTTTCATATCAAAAGAAACTCACTGGACTTTTGCCAAATACAAAATAAGAAACCAAAAATAGACAGAACTAGAAAACTTAATGAGAACATAGAGTAAACAGAACTGTCAGGGTGTATGATGTCAATCCAATCATCTACTGAGGGTGTTCCAGGTTTCTACCATCTCCTTGTAATTGCTTTCTTACTCACAGCACTTAAAAATCTGGAATAAATACTCGTCTTTTGAGGAAAAGTTTTCTGAGGATAAGGCAATATGACAATGCATCTCAAATGGAATATGTATTTAAAAGACTTTACTCAAAATTTTACGAAACCTCTTTCCAGAAAAGAATCAAAGAAGCACAAGACCAGAATATATGAAAATGATTTGCCTCAAGGCTCCAACACTCTCCAGCATTTGGAGGAACTGTTATAATGTCATTTTTGGGATGGAGTAATGAAAAACCTCACAAGGTTTTTCCAGCAAAACTCTCAGCATAATGTTGAATTGAAAGTTTTCTGTTGAATTTTCACATAAATTCTCCCACTCTTCCTCATTTACAGCTAGGTTACGTTCCCTCTCCTATTTTCGTGTAGCATAAAATGAGTTGCCTTTTTTTGTAGTCAACCTTTAAAAAGCCTGAGGTTGTTTTTGGTTTGTGTTCAACTTCATCTATAAAGGCTTTTAATAAATGTTACCCCAGTACACTGATTTCCTTTCCATATGGGTATAATATGATGATGAACTGGAAAATACCTGTAAAAACCATCCTTATTCGGGTCAAACTGCCTCCTCAAATTTTCAGTGAGTCATTACTCCCTTATCCAAAAAAGTGCAATATGCAGTCAATCCATGTCCCAGCTTTTAGGCACAAAATCTGGATTAAACACACAATCTCAAAACTTTTACAGCCTCTTTTAAATGATTTTGAACTTTTACCTTGTTCCACCATTTAAGCAAAACCTTAATCCATGAATTTCCTAAATCAGCAACTTTATGTCCCCAATTGCCGCTTGAACTGGAGATTTGTCTGTCGTAGCTCCCTCAATCTCTCTCCATCTGGCACAATAGTACTCTGGATTGCTCCTATATTTTAATGGCCTTAATTGAGCAGCAATGTAATAATCCTTTAAACTCAGAAGTGCCATCCCATCTCTATTTTTTTGTCAGCTGAAGAATTTGGTATCCGATTCTTGGTCTGTGATTCAGCCAGATGAACACAGGAATAAGCGATCTCATAATTTCTTACATCACTTTTATTATTTATTATTGTTTGACATATCGTATGGTACGGCATTGTATTGCATAGTATTCTATCATATTCTCTAGTATTGTTTTACACCCTCTATCCTTGTTGACAAATGAATAAAATTCTTGTCAGATAAAGGCATCGTGTTTAATCTAGTGGCATTAGTTAAAATGTGGCTAAAATAAGGCAGAAGAGGAATCTGCTGAGTCACGCTGAGACTATTTTCAGGCTCATATTCGAGGGTGAGTTTTATTGGACCATGAACAGGGCACACTGACAGTGTTTAAGGGCAGAATGGTGAACATTACTCATTCTTATTTTAAACCTTGCCGCTGGTCCAGGAAATTATACGGGTGATATTTGACTTGAAAGCTTCATTCTCCAACCTTCAAAAACTGTGACCTCCGACTTGATGAAAAACTCCTGGCGGTATTTCAGGCAACTTCCGAACCCAGGGAGGGGAGAACACTTTTGCGGTCAAACAGAACAGAACAATTGATCTAGTTTCAGTCACATTACATTGTTTTAGGTTTTTTTTTTATTTCCTCTGTCTCTGTGATTTATTTTTACAATATTCTCAATATATCAAGAGTGGGCTACATAAATACATCTTTCGAACATTTTAAGATAATTATTATAACACACTAAAAGGTTTTAAATCTTTGCTCCAGTCCATCTCTGTGTTTGTTTTTAATCCCAGTTAAGTTTGAAATCCTGACAATTGTTTTGGAACTTCATTTTAGCTGTTTTCTCATAATTTTAACTATAATGATTGTGTTTTCACCCTTTAATGAGCTGCAACTGTTTTAAAATTTGCCTTGACTTCATCTAAAACACTGAAGAAATGAACGGTCCCAAAGTTAGAGATTAAGTTCAAATTTTGGTTTTAATCATTAATTTGGATATCAGTACCAGGACAAGCTTTTTTAAGCACCATCTCTATTGTCATAAAACTCTTAAGGCCTGATCTACTACATGATCCCAAATAGTGAACGCTAAATTGCGCATGCAAACAAAAAAAAATGCACAAGCTATAGGTGGGCGTGTTTCGGGGGATCTACTATCTGTGCGTGCTCAATTGATAACAAGCACAAAAGTCGTGTGGACCGCCCTCTTTGAACGAGGATTTTGCGTGCGCTATCAGCTGTCACCATTGAGAGTTTGGGAGAGCAGAGCGGTCGTAGCCAAAATTGAAGTTTGAAGCCGTGGAGTTGCACATATCGTTTTGGGGAACTGCGTAAAAGGCAAACAAGGCAAGTTTATAAAATCATTCATACACAAGGCAACTCAAAGTGTTTTACAGATGCAAGAAAATATATTAGAAATCAAAAAAGGGATAAATTTTTTTTAAATCAATAAGACAAACAGATAAATCTTTTCTTTTCTGTTCTGTGTTTGACCTTATTGTTTATGAAAATCATTTACCAGAACAACGAAAAGCTTTTAGACAAGAATCGTGGTGTCTATCATGGCACTTCTGCCTCCTTCTCCCCACAATGACCACACATATTGCTGTGCCAGTTCACACGTGCCTTTCAAACGTGCTTAGTATAGACACAAAACAGCGACCACAATTGGTTTCTGGTTTTGATAAATCACATTGCAGGTGCTAAATGACCCCATTTGCATCTGCTCCTCCCAGAATTTTGCAGATTCTAATGATCTACATATATTCTGCATAATCATGAAGGCAAACACGATAAATTGTTGCGCTTGGTATTTTACTCAGTTGACAGACGCAATCCTCTGTGCATCTGGTTAGTAGATCAGGTTTGCGTGCACTATCAAGTTTGTACGTGTTTTTGCACATGCAAACCTTAAGTAGATCAGACCCTTAATGTTTGCATTTCAGCCAAGCAGTCATCTGTCAGAGGACCTTCCTGTCTGCAGCCAGTCTGAGGCCTCTAAAAGAGCGCTGCAGCCGAGCACAAGCGCACAAGGTCAGCCTCTCTCCTGTGGTTTCTTCTGCAATGGTATAGCCTGACTTCCTGTGCAAGATTACCATCTAGCCTCTCATATTCTCACTGATGCTTATCTTTTGAGCCACAAACGCCAACTCCCCGAACATCTCTACACCTCGGCCCCCAGCGACAGCCCCATCGGCCTGTCAATCTGGCAGCTCATCCTGTGTCCTCCTCAACCCCCCCTCATCCTCCTCAGAGTGGCCAAAAAATGAGCCGTCCTCCCCTCCTCTGTCCTGGACCTGTCAGGAGGAAATAAGATCCATGGTCCCAGCCCGGGGCGTGAGGAACGCAGAGGTTGAATATGGGTGAGGTGTGTGAACGAAAGGGTGTGTGGAACTGAAATTTCAGGATTATCTTATGATAATACAACCAAAAGCTTTTACGCATGCAGAGGCGTCTTCAGAGTAATGAAAGTCATGATATTTTATTCCCAGCACCACAGGAAGGATGCATGTGACCACAATGATAAACCATATCGAGAGCAATACTGCCGTGACTGAGAAGCTGCAGAGGTAGGCAAACTCAGGAGATGAGCACTACCACTAAAAGAAGCTAACTTTAGCATGTTAGCTTGTATTTCAGTTCAGACTCAGTTTGTCCAATTCTCCAATGAAGCTCTTTGGATATTTACACGTTTTGGCTGTTAGAGATCACCTTTATCAACTTTAAGTGAGCTCAGAAACACTTTAGTCTGAGCTGAGCCACACAGAGGAAACATTTCAAAATCTTAGAAACAGATTAAAGCTAACAGATTTTCATCTAACTACAGTAAGTCTGGCTTATCTCACAGAGCTGCAGACAGGATATGACAGAAAACTGTGTTCAGGGTCACATCTTCAACATTTCAGAACTAGCATGCTAACATGGTTACATGTGCAGCACATATTCCAGGTTTACAGTCTTATTTTTACATGTAAAACCAATCACCTAGCACTCACAGTGTGAATGTCTTAAACGTCTCTCTTCCTAGATTACCTGCAGATCTTTATGGTCTTCTTCTCAGGGTCTAAAACAAAGCAAATATTCTGTGCTGTTCGTGTTAAAAAAGTAAACTCACTTTTGACCATCTGATGTCATTTTGAGTTGTTGCAGTTTGACAATTGCTGTTGTGGTTGAGGTCTTGCCACAAATAGGCAGCTGCTGGAAGAGAGCAGGTGAGTTGTGTTTAGTCTCTTTGCTGAAGAAATTAGGCAAAGCTATAAAGATGTTTGGTGGCTAGTGCTGTGGCTGGGACCCTATATGTACCGTTGATGAAGTTAGGTGCTGTTCTGAGCATTATTTGTGTCTACAGAGTGGCGTTTTGGTTGAGGTTTGTTTATGGCTCCTCAGATCGCTGTGTATTGCTATCGTGCGGTCGTTACTTAAGTTGATATAACTAGAGAAGCAAGCAGTCGGCAACATTCATCTCTTAATGGGGTGTCTAACTTGGTGTCACAGTGTGTTTGACCCTAAATTAATTTTATGCCAGAATATCCCTTTAAAGCAAACCCTCATTAGGTGGACCCATACTTGAATAAACTACAATATAGATGCAAGAGAGCCCACTTTCAGACACTGTCTCACTGATAGCAGCCCCACTGTTAATTTGTATTGACAGTTATCCAATTTAAGTAATCTCGCTGCTTATGTTGGTAAAACATGGCAAAAGATTTTAGATGCATTTAAACCATCTAATGTGCACATTACTTGGATAATACTGACATCTATTGTTAATGAAGATAGAGTTCTTGGATCTTCTGTTAGACCGTCATTGTTGTTAAACCTCTGTCCACATGTAAAATGTCAGCCTCGCTCGCCTTGGCTCTATAATTGACTGAAAACTCTACTTTTGGAGCACAGCAGTTGTCTTCTCTGATCTATAATAGAAGGATGAGATAGTGTCACACAGCCAGGTAGATAAGATCAGGGAGAGGGAGAGGACAGGCAGTCTGGCTATCTCTCTGGTGAGAGTGTGATTCAGCAGCGTGAATAATTAAAGCTGGGAGTAGAGATAGAAATCTGTAGACGCCGGGGTCGGATAATACTGGACGGATACCGGGGGCCTTTAGTGCGGGGAGGTGGCGGCTGAGACCACATTAGTCACTCTCCCCGTGCCCCGGGCAGCCGTCAGGGCACAGCACTGAAGGTCAGGAGATGATGGATGGACAGGGAGCGGCGGTGGCTCTCAGCTGAAAGTTGACTAGAAAACGAGTGTCCTGTACATGAAGTATTATCCTGGTTGAGGAAGATACCTGATCTGATACTGCACAGACGTGTCATGGCTTTGTGAACTTTGGGAGGACCTGCCTGTCAGGTTGGAGAGAAATTTGTGACAAGAGGAGGCTGAAAAAGAGAAAATGCACTGAGTTAACTAAATTATGAGAGCTGGGATAGAACAAATTCCTTCTTTCACTATTGTCACGGCTGCTTTAAACCTGTATTATCTCTCGTTGTTGTTCTGTGTCTGTCTCCTTCTCTATCTATCGATCTGTGTGAGGTTTCTGCTTTTTAAGAGGCGTTTTTTTCAGGGAAAGAAGAAATGAAGAGACAAAGCGTGCTCTTAAATGACAAAAGCAGACGGTGAAACAGCTTTGTTTTCAAGGACAAACAGGTACGAACTGTTCCTGTGTGCAGCACTAAAAGGATTCCTCATGTAATCGATAAATACTGCCTTTTAACTTTGAATGCCCAGTAAGGTACATGGGTCTTACATAAACTGGAAGTTTATCGAGCTCTTAGGAACACAGTGAGCAGTGAGGCTGAGCTACAGGTTGTTAATAGCTGGAGAAAAACATACATTTGGATGGCTTCATGGTGGCAAATGCAAAAATCCTCAGAGACACAGCCTCTCAAAGACATTTAGAAATGGTGAAAGAACCCTGGTTGATTCCTGTTAAAGGTGAGGTAGGCAGGAATTCTCCTTGCCAACACAAGCAAGAAAACAAAGTAAATACCGGAGAGTAAATAAAGGAGGTAGACCGGACAAGAGCTGAAAAGATGGGTCAACATCAGCATCTACGATGGGGGATGCTTCAGGATCTTAGAGACCCTGTAACCTTTCTGCTGGGCAGGTAAACCTCTTTAACAAAGTAAGCCAAGTGTCTGTGACAGAAGTGTTTCTTGTCAAACTGGACCTGCTGCGTGTTGTAGCGCCGCTAAACTGTTGACCTCGGGTCCTGGACTATGTCACTTTATCCTAGTTGTAGAAGTCCTGCAAACATTGAGTTTGCTGGTCGTCTGTCAGCAGCTACAGTAGCACCAATGCTTTTTACTTTCACGTTGACTGGGCCCCATTTGTAATTATCTGAAGTATTTATCTGCATTATATCTGAATATAATTGAAATGATACGAGTGAGCAGGAGCGTCTGTTTGTGGCTTACTGGGGCAGAGACGGAGGGGAGAGGAAAACTGGTTGGGAGGGGTAGAGTTTACATTCAAGATTTCTCCCAAAAACTGGCATTTCCTCAGACCCTGCCTACCCCACATTTAAACCTCTGTAACAGAGCACGGGTCTACCCCTGCTTTTTGTGTCACTTGTTTGTGATTTGCTTCTGTATAGAAATAATTTAAAAAACCAGCGTGAAACTTTTTAGAATTTCCAGGAAATTTCGATTTCCACTTTACTCCCTGTAATCATTCATCACAATCTCTATTAAATTTAATGCCTGGTGTGTGTATTTATGCTACCTTTTGAAGGGTTACATTAAAATTCAGTTTGCTTCCCCCTTCACCGTCTTCCTTCTTTGTTCCTCTCATCTGGTCGGTTTCTCCGCACCAGATGTCTTTCATGTTTGCTGCTGGGAAGCTGCTGAGAAACTAAGTCAGCCACCAGTGTGAAGGCTTGGAGTAGGATGAGTTACTTTTTTAGAGCAAGTCCCCTGCAACGGCTCACATCTGCACCCTCCTTGACTGCTTTTTAAACCAAAACACATTCTGTTTGTCCAAATGATGCTCCAAACATAGACTCTGGGTGGACATCACAGCATGCAGGAGTTGTACTAAAACAAGCTCTGCGTGAGCTCAACCACTAAAGAGCGACCTCCTCCTCCAGCATTAGTGTGATTTTACCGCAGGTCTCTCTTTTCGGTTCTCTCCATTCATTATAATGGTAGCACTGTGCCGGTTGATTCCCAGTGATGGCATGGAGCCTCATATTCAGGTCAGCTCGCAGCCAGAACGATTCCTTGATTATTCCTTATTTATCCCAGTCAGTCCCCCTGCTGTGGTGTGGAGTCTCTAAAAGATGTGTGTGAGTGAGAGGAGGCCGAGCTAATGAGCTGCGAGAGCTAGCATGCTGGTTGTTAGTGGGCTCGAAGATGTGCTTCACCCAACCAGGAAACACATTTAAATCACGGGTAAGAGCGGCATCTCATTCAGGGGGACAAAAGCCGATGTGGAGGTGGTCACTGCCTTTTTATATTGGATCCCAATTAGCTTTCATTCAGGACTCATTCATTAGAAATGTGATTTAAAACTGTGGCTAAAAGATTTTAAACCAGCAGCGCAAAAACTGTGTTTTGAATATAACTAACTTAGACCAAGACTAACAAGGAGAAGTGTGAGTTGACAAATAACGGAGTATTCAGACTGCATGCTGGTGATGAGGGTCTGCTGTCTATCTCATTGTGCTGAAAACCTGGATAATGGAAGGCTTGTTTACTTTTTTGACAAACTGTGTATGAATCTTGGCCAAATAGATTAAAAAACGCTAAAATTAGGGGCCACATATGTTTTGAATCAGCTACATGACTTACCCGGGATTTCCAACACAAAGCAGAATGGTGGCAATTTTCGCTGTATGCCAATTCCTACTGGATCCGTTTGTGAGGTGAATTTCGTGGCGGATTAGGGACAGCAGGAATTGTGAGAACTCATGAGAACTCACAAGAACTCATAAGAACTTGCGGATTCACGTGCAATCCCACGATAACAAGTTGTCTTTAGCCACATAGGCTAACCGTATAAGCGGTAGATTGTGTCCTTCCGGAGAAGGAAATCTACTTCTAGACTTCTAACATCAGCATCTCCTCATCCATTGTGTCATTGGGATGAAATGCTGTCCATAAACTCTTCACTTGTTTGTCCCCGCCTGTTTGCATTTTTTTTTTGCATTATTTTGAAAAGAAGCCGGTTTTATTTTGTGTCTGTGCCCGACTTCCTTTCCAGGAAAGCTGAATTTATCTGGCATGCTCCAGCAGCCGAAAAAAAAAGAGAAGTCTTGCGATCAGCTGTGGAGTCCGGCGATCCTCAGGATGGTGGAAATTGACACGTTATCTTGAATGGTTATGATCAGCTGCGATCGGCAGATACGGCCTTTTCGTAGCCATTCCGGATGCGGTGGAAATTGGGGGTTATGAATCAACACTCCTTGGATGCTTTTCAAAATAAAAGCTATATCTGTTTTTCTTTTTTCATTGTGGAGGGACTGTGCTCATATTTGCACAATGCTTTTAAAATTTGTCCAGGTAGGTTATTTGAAGAATTAAGGTCTCTCTCCGGGTTTATATGCTCAACTTTAATTGAAAAGAGGCTGTGATGTCCCACATAAGCCACAAGTCCTTCTCTGCTAAGCTGTTTGGCGTCATAGGGGCAGAAATATCCTGCCTTGAAACGTTAGTATGTAAGCGCCTACTGAGAAACGAATCTAGGGACACTTAAAGATGAGGACACCCTCACCTCTGTCTCCCCACACAGTTTCTTCACCTCAGCTTTGAACGTTGTCTATGTTGGCCTGAAAGAATCCCCCGATTTAGGCTTTAAACAGGCTTTAACATTTTGATAATCAAATAAAATCAAGTCTCCTCCTGATCTCTATTCCTATTTATGTCCCTCTTTGTCTCTTTTTTTCCCTGCTGATTGTAAATGATGGACTGTTTTATTTAAACGAGATGAATTTCTAAGCGTTTAGTCGTCAGTAATACCCCTGCATAAGTATGTGTGACAGACGGTTAAGTAATTAATATGTATGTTCTTTGTAGACGTGTTAATTATAATTGACGGTGGATCACAAGCCTCTTCATCCTTCCTGTAAATGACTGTAATGTATCTAAAGACATTTCGTCTGATTTTGGGCTCTATTTTAAGTCAAAGATTCAAAGACCAGGCTGACAGCAGCGACATGCTCCCTGTCTGAATCAGCCCACATCCGTGCTGGCAGCTCTGTGAGGCTAAGAATATTATAGATGGACCTACTGCCAGAATTAGATTCCCTTTGACTCGCTCTGAATCGTTGTTTGTTTTTTGGAGGACAACAATGGAAATTTGAGCTTACTTTGCAGAGAGTGGTTTATTGTGATGGAGTACACACACTGAGTTACTATGAGGAGTTTTATAGTATTTGTGAAATAGTCCGAGGCCGTGGTCCTCAGTTGGAAAAAGGTAGATTGCCTTCTCCGGGTCGGGGGGGGAGGTCCTGCCTCAAGTGGAGGAGTTCAAGTATCTCGGGATCTTGTTCACAAGTGAGGGTAGAATAGAGCGGGAGATCGACAGGCGGATAAGAGCGGCGTTAGCAGTGATGCGGACGCTTAACCGATCTGTTGTGGTGAAGAAAGAGCTGAGCTGTAAGGCAAGACTCTCGATTTACCGGTCGATCTACATGCCGATCCTCACCTATGGCCATGAACTTTGGGTAACGACCAAAAGAACGAGATCGTGGATAGAAGTGGCCAAAATAGGTTTCCTTCACAGGGTGGCCGGGCTCAGCCTTAGAGATAGGGTAAGGAGCTCGGACACTCGGTAGGCACTCAGAGTAGAGCCGCTGCTCCTCCACGTCGAAAGGAGTCAGCCGAGGTGGCTCAGGCATCTGGTTAGGATGCCTTCTAGAAGCCTCCCTTTTGGGGTGTTCTCGACATGTCCCAATGGGAGGAGACCTTGTAGCCGGCCTAGGACCAGGTGGAGGGATTATATCTCTCGCCTGGCATAGGAGTGCCTGGGAATCCCCCTGGAGGAGCTGGTGGAAGTGGCTGGGATGAGGGCCGTCTAGGCGTCCCCCCTAAGCTGCTGCCCCTGCGACCCTGACCCAGATAAGCGGAAGAAATCGACGACGACCACACCTTTTAATGATACCCAAAGGCAAATAAGACCATCAGGAGTAAGGCTTACTTTTCAGAACAGTATATGGAGCTTTTTAATGTCTGAAACTGGTAAGTGTCAGCTGAGCAGCTGAAGACAAAGCCCTGTTTTTTCAATTTCCGCATGTAATATTCACAATAAATGATATTTTTGACTGTTTAAAGTCAGCAGGATGACATTTCTTTGTTAAACGACACAAGCAAGACTTCTTTGTCCACAGGGGATCTTCACAGTAGCTTTAAAGTTAACACCCTTGAGTCATAGACTGTGAAAAATTGACGTCATGGGAGCTCAACAAAAGTCAAGGGAAAACATTTGTCCCCTCCCCACCACTAACTGGCACAAGTATAAGTCTTACCAAACTTTTCCATGTCAACTAGTAGGACATGGCTCTGAGTGTAAAATTAAAATATCTGTTTCTCAAACTGTTTTAAGTCATAACTGTCTTATCATGTTGACTTATTCTTCAAGTGTTCAATTTTCTTTGTTTTAGTTACTTATTTGATGCTGCAAAAATGGTTTGATTTCACTTTTTATTCCAGGAAAAGCTGAAGGCTCATAGACCATCTTTTACTGAAAAGTCAATAGAATAAATACATCTTAGTCTGAACTGGAAAGGAATGAAAATGAAAATAATGCCAGGCTTCTGCTGCAACCTCCATTCAGTCTGAATGTCTTTGTCCATTTGTGAATTCTTGTTATTTCCCAAAAATGTTTCAGCAGCTGGTGGTTATCATCGCAGAATGAGAGCTTCTTTAATACTGATGAGATAAACAGCTACAAGATAAACAGGATCTAATAGGACATTTTTTTACTGGTAACACCCATTCAGAGGAATTAAAAAACAAATGATGTTGCTGAAAAATATCCTATAACAGATAAGACTTAATGCTGCACAATATCATTCTGTTTCGATGTGTTATAAATTAAACAATTTCTATATTTGTTGAATTGCGAGACAAAGATTTGTCTGATTTGTTTGCTACAGGCAGCAAAGGTTTTGTTATGATCTGACACACACACACACAAAAACCTGATAAAACTCAAAGACAAAAACAGCCACGAGTTTAACATGAAAAGAGTCCATCTGATTTCCACATCATTTTATATTAAACATGCATCTATGCTCAACAGACAAAAACTGCTCATATTCGGAGAATCGTACCCCCTGTATTCATTTCCTATTAATGTGGTGCACCTGGCAAACAGCCGTACATCTTTAATCAGTTCTCCATCTAGCCTGTGGTGAGAAACCGTGATACCATCAGCGTGTGTTCTCCTCATAAACACTGTTTTCGTCACTTAGACTTTCACTGAAAAGACAGAGCTGCTGCAGTTTTCTCTGTACTTTTCTCGGAAGTTGGAAGTCGTTCTATTAAAGCTATTATTAACACAACACATTTCCTATAAGATATTAGTATTGATGTGTTAGTGTACTGAGATCATGGCATGAATTTAGGCCATATGGGGGTGGGGAGGAGACTCAACTTAAAGGAAACACTCTGCGTGTGGTTATTTCATAGACTGAAGTCTCTATTTTGAGATTTAATATATTTAAATTTTATTCAAGAAGGGAGACGGGATGTTCCCAGCAGAAAGATATTCCTGACAGTGTAAGGCTGCATTTCAACCTTTGTGCTAAAAAAAATATACATCTTACGTAAAATATGAAAAATACAAATTTTACTGGGCGAAAAAATCTCAAGCATCGAGCTTTAAACAAAAGGAGCCTTTCAGTTTTCTCTCATTATGTTACCACCACCACATGCTTTTTTTTTTTTTGAATTGTTTGTCTGTCAGACAACAGCATAAAATGTTTAGGAGTGAGATTGGGTCATAATTTCAGATAAAAACACATTTGACGGCCTATTAGCTAACATCTGAAGACAGATAACATTAGCATTTAGCCATTTTCTATTTAGAGGTAATTTTCTAAAGTTTTTATGAACATGTCAGTCTCCCTCCCTATCATCTCTGCCTCTGCAGCTTTCTTTGAGCAGAGTAGAGGAAGAACAGTGAGAAAACCCTGAAAATATCAACACATGAGTCACTGAAGTAACCATGAGTGTCGGCTTCAAACCAGCACAAGATAAACAGAAGTTTGTCTTTCACAACATGTATAACCATCATCTATGTGGCTACAGCTGCATGTTTGTATCTACTACTAATGAGTGAACAAATAAGACCTGATTCTTGCATGATGCTTGTAAGGCTCCTCTTACTGAAAAAGTTTGTATTAAAGGGATATTCCAGCATAAAATAAATTTAGGGTCAAACACACCGTAACACCTAGTTAGACACCCCGTAGAGAGATGAATGTTGCCGACCGCTTGCTTCTTTAGTTATACCAACTTTAGTAACGACCGCAGCATAGCAATACACAACAGTCTGAGGAGCCATAAACAAACCTCAACCAAAACGCCACTTTATAGCCACAAATAATGCTCAAAACAGCGCCTAACTTCATCAACAGTACATATAGAGTCCTAGCCATAGTACTAGCTATCAAACATCTTTTTAACTTTGCGTAATTTCTTTAGCAAAGAGACTAAAGAAATTATTCTCTTCCAGCAGCCGCTTGTTTGTAGTGAGACCCCAGGCCAGTCCATTACGGACTGCAGTGGGGTGACGCAGCTCAAGGAAGAACATTTAGGATCATTTCTTCATGGAAATCCAATCAGACGAAGATGCTAAGGCAGACGAACTACCGGGTCTGCGGTGCAAAATGATTACAATAATGATTATTACTTCAAGGAAATGATAAAGAAATGATCATAAATGTTCTTCCTTGAGCTGCGTCACCCCGCAGCGGCAATGGACTCACCCGAGGTCTAGCTACAAACAAGCGGCTGCTGGAAGAGAGTAGGTGAGTTGTGTTTAATCTCTTTGGGAAAGAAATTAGGCAAAGTCAAAAAGATGTTTGGTGGATAGTGCTATGGCTGGGACCCTACATGTACTGTTGATGAAGTTAGGTGCTGTTCTGAGCATTACTTGTGGCTATAGAGTGGAGTTTTGGTTGATGTTTGTATTTGGCTCCTCAGACCGCTGTGTATTGCTACCCTGCGGTTGTTACTGTGATATCCCTTTAAAGCTTCAGCAGTCCTCTGTGTTTTGCAAAGACAAAATTATGAATGTATATTATCAGTATAGCTCTTAAAGCTCCTGTGAGAGTTGTATAGTTTGCATTGGTTTTGATAACTTAAAACAAAAACCTCATCTCACTGTCTTATCATAGTCACACGTAGTGCTAGTCAAGAATCTTTGATCGAAAATGTGATAAGAGTTCCTGTTTCTGCAGTTAATCACTTCATCTGTCACCTACCCTGCGGCAGAGGATTGATGCATCAGAAATTGCAACATTTTGCGGTTGATT